TCAAGCCAATTTCTTTGCTGATTGTATATTTTACATACTGTAGACTATTTACACAGAGGGAATAAACAATTATATATTATATTCATTGATCAGAGCATATTTACGACAAAGATTTTGTACCTTTTAATATTATTCCTTTTCTAGAATATAGTAAGTCGATTTGCCATCTAGCATTTCGGTTTCTATAACATTTTCAATTATATTTTTCATGATTACAGTTGACAGGGACCAAAACATAGTGGCATAGGCTTATAAACTTGAAAAAGTAATAAATAATATGACATAATGGCATATACTGGATATACAACGGAATATAGAATAAAAATATAATATATATGAAAGAAATGGGCAAAAAAAATATCTTATCATGCAGGGTGATTAAGAGTACACTTCACTCAATTCCTTATTGTTATGACAATAATGTAAAATATGAGATTATCCTCTCCTCCCTTCTCTACGTTATAATAGGATTAATTAAGAATTTTGAAAATAGTTCCCTTATCGTATATTTTTAGGCGAAAATTGACAGCCAGTGATAATATTAAGCTAAAGAATAAGCTATTATTAATGCCGGATTATTCAAAGGGATTCTACTTCTTTTCCTTCCACACCCTGTGAAAAGAAATCACCATTTTTAGACTATATTTTTACACGCCTTTTTACTTTAGTCATCATCTTTTCTTTTTCTAAAACGTTTTATAAGCCTCTCAGGAAGGAAGGAAATAGGATGATTCATTCAAATAGATAGGCTTGTTTTGTTTTAATATGACGGGTATCATCACGACTTTGAGGCTTTTTATTTTTCCATATTGTTTATCTTTTTTTTGTTACCTATAATGATAAGTCTAACGAGCAAAAGATGCTAATGAAAATCAACAATATCGGAAAGAAACAAATTTATAATTTATTTTAAAATTATTTCCATCTTCAAGTTAATTTGCTTTTTTTTTCCTTCTGCTGTTTTATCATCAAACGAAAAGAAAAAAAAATAAGATAGCTTTAAAGCTTATAAATAGACGTTTAAAAAAATATATCGAAGTATTTCACGTATTTACAGCTTAATTCTCTATTTCAACTGGAATAGTTTACCATGAAAAACACAAAAAAAATTAATCTTAAAGAGACGGAAGTAAGCATTGCGTGATAAAATTCATTTCACTCTCCTATTAATGAAAAAAACGAGTTAGAAAAAGAGGTATTTTCTTTTTTTTTAATAACAATTTCCCAACAAAAGGACAGAAATTAGGATAAAAAGAAGAGAAAAGAACTATCTTTTAATCTACAAAAGCTACAATCATTCAATCAACTGTATTTATCATTTAGGTGAATAGTATAATGCGAGAAAAAAAGGATAGAAAGAAACGTATTATATCTTTATTCGCCCTATTTATTGTAATCCTTTATAGCAATTTTATAAATAAAGTGACTATTATAAGAAAGAAATGATATAAATATTATCAAAATAGTTTTCTATTTCTAATTTTTATCTTTTCATTAAGCATTTACTTGCCCTCTTTTTTCCAATATACAGTAAGTACAAGAAAGAATGCTTCTAATCGAATTTGTTAAATGTAAATATTAACATAAATGATGACAATGTTGTAAAGGACAGCGTTAAATTGTTTAACATCAATACACCTAATAGAAAATTCCTGTTACTAAAATTAACATCAACAGAGTTAACTATAATAGTTTTCTTTTTCATTATTATCGTAAATATTCATCTACCAATAGTGGACTATATGAAAGGTCAAAACACATCAATCTATCTATCTATCTATCTATATACTGTATATAAAAGGAATACACGGAGAGAAAAACTGCTATATCTTTGATAAAAAAACATTAGCAATTATGGATGCTATTTCTTTCATAATATCCCTTTTTACTCAATATTTCAAGGATTGTTGCATAAGATGAATTCTTACAGTTTTAAATCATTTAGGTTGAGATATTTTTTCGCTCTATCAGAGAAAAAGGTCTCTCTCTCTCTCTCCTTCTCTCCGTATTTTGTTTCTGGCCATTTGCCAAACATTGAATAGTCTTCTTTTTTATCCAAATTTTTAATAAAACTATTTATTGTTATTTACTTTTCTAATTACTTTGCTGTATTGCGGGATTCTTAATTATTTATATAAGCAATAAATTATGTTATTTTTAAAGATTATTTTCCTCCTACTTTAATAAAAATAAACCTATAGATCAAAAGTACAACGATTAACAACTTTTTCTATTCTTCTTTAAGTAAGGAGACCTGTCATTTTTTGCGAAAACAAATCACAAAAATCTTATCAATACACAGTATACTAGATGGCGTATTTTCCTGTTTATGTTTATCTCTTCTTTAAAAGTTAAATTACTTCTTTTGCTAAATTCTTCCATCCTTAGCGTTCCAAAGAAAAAGCAAAAGCCATTTTGTATTGTACATTGGCATATAGGAAAGCAACAGTATTTACTAGAAGAAGTAAGAACGGCAGCCAAATAGAATAGATAATTAAAAATTTTAAGTTGTATCAGCATGGTTATAAAAGATAAATATTTACTAACTTTTCAACTGCAAATATCCACCTAAAAAGTTTGTTTTACCAAAGACTAAAACAGAAAGAAACGAAAGAAAATAGTATAATGATATATTTGCTAATGAATTAAAAGAGTTTGATATTGAATAACTAGATACTTTATTTTTATATTTACTTTTTTATAAGCAAAAATTGTGTTTATTATCAAAATTACTTCCCTAATTACATTGACAATAATTCTAATATTAAATGCAGATCGATTGATGTAAATTGTTAATAAACAAAGACAGATGAGCAACTTAGATGATATACAGTATTATTTATGTTAAATATTGTATACAGAGAGAGAGAGTCGAAACGTGTGTAACTATGACTCATCATCCTTTTTTGGAGGCTATTTTTAAATATATCCTGTTAAATAATACCTATGCCTTTTTTTTGCTTATTCAAGTTCCTGCTCAAAAACCTATAAATATGGTGAAAAATCGTTATTTCTTCATCAAATCAAATACAAGTCAGTTTCTTATTAAGAAAGTTGCAAAAACTGCTTTTCGTAAGTAAGATATTATAAGCATGTTATATTCTTTCATTCAATCTTTCACTTTTATTCATTTTAGAGAATTCACTATGAACAAACTTCTTATGTGCTTTTTGATTGTTGGAGTACTTTTCTCCCTGAACTGCGAAGCCTGCAAGAACAAGCCCAAACCAGAAATAGATATTAAATGTACAATTAAATGTGCAAAATACAATTTCTGCCTTGTAAGAAGTGGAAATCCAAAATTGTGTAAAAAGCCAAGTGGATGTGTCTGTAACCGATTTGCGTGGGAAAATGATAAATAGATCAACTGAAAAATTCCACGAGATTTACGCTTTTCTCAAAAACAATAAGAACTTTTGAGATATTTCCTTTTAAATTATTATATTCAATACATTCTAAAGCTAATTCTGAAGCAATAATTGATATTGTTTTTTTGCTGTTTATTTTATATTTATCTTTAATTTACTTAGGAAAAACATAAACAGACGCAAAAAAAAAGAGAGCAAGAGAGATTATCACCTCTTTCTTTTTCTTCATTTAAAGTAAACATAGTAGAATCTTGAATACTTTTAAAACAAACATTGCTAGATGAATTGAATCAAAAGTACCAAATAATCAAAAAATATTCATCATGAACAAAACTATAAATAAAGAGCCTTAAAAAGCAAAGAGAAAATAACAAAGGGAAGGGAGAAATACTAAAGAGAGAGTTCAGTAAGGAGAATAAGAATTAGGATAAATTATAAGGTATATTCTACTTAAACTGCCTTTGGGTTCTTCCTCTCTGCGCCTAATTGTCGAAAATTCTCTCTAAATCCTATAGTATTTTTGTTCGTCAAATACTCTATGAGGACTAATGAAAAAGATGTTCAATAATTTATACTTGCTAGACTTTATGTTTTACATAGGCCTATGTCCTATCCATTTCATTCCTCTAGATTACTATCCAAGTACAATAGACATAAAAAATATACTGAAAGAAAATTTAACATGCTGATAGACTATTAGACTCATTCAAATAAAGAAGTATATTGTATTTCTTGAAGAAGATAAATAGTTAATTACCTGTCTCATAAGGAATAGATGACAAACTATTTCCCCCCCATTTAAAATTTTGAATATTGCATATCAATTCCCCCCAAGACGATAGAGAGCTAACAAAACATATCGTCTTTATCACTTATTACTCAGAAATATGTCTGTGCTTTATTTCAAAATATCCTATTCGAAAACACACGACAAATATCTTGTCGGCTATTATGATATTCTTAAAAATAGAATCCTATGCTATTCCGCATCATTTCTTTTTTAGCCTAAATCCTCTTTAAAGAAAAGAGTAAGAAAGAGGAAGCCTTTGTCACCCGTCGTTGTGTGTTTGATTTTCGCTTGTTTTGTTTGTGTATGTGTGTGCGTGTGTGTGTGTGGGTGGACTAATGATAGTGCCATTCTAGCTCAATTGTAGGAGAAAAGTTATCATTAATAAGTTATCATAAACTCCCTATATATATTTAAGAATCTTTGAAAGGAATACAATAAATACAATATATCATTATAAAAATCCATTCTCTTAATATATTTAACGAGTTCCAGTATAGATCTTAAAAGTAACGCTTATATTCATTAGGTAGGAATGTTTTTTAATCTTATCAATCAATATCTCGTATCATTTTTCTTATTCGTTTACTAGTAATAATTTCGCGATAGAAATGACGAGTTGTAAAGACTTTACCCCTTCTCCCTCCATCTCTCCCGTCCCCTCTTTTCACTCTATAGTATATTAATGTTAGAATAATCGCATCTTTTCTCTTTACTTATTTATTTATTAAGCAAATATCTATTTTTAAAAATTATTTACAGTTTATTATTGTTATGCTTCATTTTTTATTGATTGTTTATATATTGCAGTTTTGAATGAGTTGAATGAATCAAATAAACGTTAATTAGTATCCGATAACGGGTTGTTGATAATGATTTAATCGTCCAAGTTGTTTAACGTCCACCTCCTTAAATGTTACCGAATTGCGGGTTTTGCTTATCCCTCCATCAGATGCTACTGTTTAAGATTGCATTTTATGAGATGAGAAAGGTTGATGCTATTACTATCAATAAAAATTAGGACGATTGTATTAACTTACATTTACTACTTCTCGCGCTACCACCTTTTTTAGACGTTGCAGTCGACTCTCTTGTTGGATTCTCTGCTGTACATTCGGGAGTAGCTTGTTCAACTGGAGGAAGAGGTTTCCTCGGTGCCAATTCACCTAATCCTAATTTCTTTCCAAATCTTTTCGGATTTTCTAATCTTTCAAGTTTTCTCACCTCCAAATGTCTATTTATAATGTACTGAGCCTGAAATGACGGTCAATCTTTAAGAAATAATACTATCATTCACTAAGTTGTAAAAATATAAATCTATTTTTAGCCATTTTAAAGTGTTTAATATTTTAAAGATAAATTGTCAATTATTCATTAAATATGACAGATTCACTATTATTCTTAATAAAACTAGTCTATTTCGTCGTTAACATATTATATAAAATAATACGAGAAACAATAGTTCAATTGGCTAGATTATAGAAAAGAGTCAAAATCCAAAAGTCCCTCTAAGTTTTACCCTAAAATACATTTAGAATTTTAATAGAAAAACTTGCAGATGGCGTTGTAGTACTATAAATATAATTTGAGAAGTTAAAGACGAATCTCTGAAGTTTGATAGAGTTTCTATTATAAATTATTAAATTAAATCATTATTTATATTGCAAATTTAACTAAATTGATTCAATAAAGACTTTAGATTCTTTGTTAGGAAGAGACATGATGATTTTACAAACCTGCTGCTGTCCACTAATTATATTATGGTAGGCCAAAATTTCAGTATTAGATATGTTGTTTTTAACGGATTTTGTTGCAGTTGATCTAGCGTGCATAGGCAATCTCAATTGATAAGATCTATCAGAAAAGTCAATTTCACATTCGCGGGCAGATCTTTTGACTCTGTTTATAATGAGAAGAATGTAAACATTAGAAGAGAAGTCGTTTCCTTAAACATGAATAGTCTTACTGTCTGTTTGTAAGCATTTCGTAAAGAAAATTTATCAAGGAATTAGCTGCTCCTTCCTTACAATGAATGGTTCCCTCTATTAGTTCATTTGGTAGGTTTATCTTATGCTTTCTAAAAAACTATTTTCAAAGGGAAAAAACAACAACAACAACTTTTAAACATCATAATCTAATAGTTAATATTTCACCAACTAACATCTTTAAGATAATCCCAATTCAATGATTTCTTACTATAAGATGATCCTTTGTTGAAACAATGAAGATAGATTTGATTTGGATAGTACCATGAAAATATCTCGCCAAGCAAATATCCGTTTGATAGATCCCTTTAAATTTTTATTTAAATTTTTCAAGTTAAAAATTGTATTTATTATTCAAATTTACACCTTACCATTTAGCATTTTGTATTTGCCAAGTTAAATCCAAAGATTGCAGCCACTTTAATACTTCTCTCGGTAGACCGGCCATTTTGTTTTGTTTCTCTTAGTTACCATAGTATCCATGGTGGCTACCAGTCTTTTATTCAACGAGAAACGGCTTAATAAATTTTCCTATCTTAATGATATAATAATTATTCGTTTCTCATTAAATCGATTTTAAGGAGATACTTAATTACCACAAGTTTTTAGAAAAATGTTGTTATTGTTTTTCGGCGCGTTTTTTCACAATTTCCTAACGGACAATCAATATAAATATGGCAAGTTACTTTAGCTCACAAAATTTAAGTTTTAATTAATAGAAAAACAAACAGTCTCTTCTTTAATAGATATCTTTCTGCTAGTTTGTAAAAACTAAAAGTCTACTTTATGCCTAAAAAATCTATAATGTGCCAATTTTCACGAGGTATCTTTTTTCGTATATAGTCAAAGAAACGAGGATTGAGTGCTGAAGAGAAGAGGATACGAATGTTGGAAGTATTTCACGAGAAAGTATGAAATTAAGTAAATAATACCAAGGTGAAGGTAATAGCATTCTATGAATATTCCAGAAAAGCTTCTTTCAATTAAAAGAGCTAGAAAAAATCTGTTCAAAGGAGAAGGGAATTTCGAGTATGACCGTGAAAGATGTTTTGCAATCTTTATGCGATGATGCTAAAGTCGATACAGAAAAAATCGGCACCAGTCTATATTATTGGTCCTTTCCCAGCAAAGAATTTATTCAACTAAAATCATCCTCGGAGAATCTGGAAAAGTCTGCAAATGAGAAACAAAAGCGCATTTCGTCAAAAGATAAAGAAGTTTCTCAGCTGTCGGTTGGAAAGGAAGATACGGTTCTCAACCAACAAATAAATAGTATAATTTTGCTCTCTAACTCAATTTTATATCTTCGATTAGGAAGAGCGAGCCACTTACATAGAGGAAATAAAGAGGCTGGAAGAAAGGTTAGAAAAATCTCGTCAACAACTTAAAGCTGTGTCTGCTTGTGACCCGGAGGTTAAAAGTTTACATTCCACAATGTTATTTTAAAAATTTAAATATCTGCCTAACAGTTTCTAGAACAATTAACAACTGAGAAGACTGTGTGTAAGGAAGCCGCGAATCGATGGACAGAGAATTTGTTTACAATAAAATCCTACATAACGAATCGTTTTAACATTGAAGAAGGAACTATCAATAAACAATTTGGTATACCTTCTGATCTAGATTACGTTGAATAATACCATTTAGAGAAGAAAATCCATATTATTCCTTCTTTTGTGTGTGTGTGTGTGTGTTTCTTCCATTTTTTAAACAATTCATTAATTACTTTACTAAAAAGATCGTAAAATATTTACCTTTTTTTTCCACTAATTTCGACATTTATTAACCTAATTTAGCATTAAAACGCCAATAATAAATAAATAAAAAACACTCGAAGTATAAACAATAAAAATCTTATTAGAAATTAATAAATCTCTTTAGGGAAAATTAAGGCTAAACTAAAGTAGATATGTATTAGTATCTATATATATATATATATATATATATATATATATATATTCAGAAGTATTGCATATAAATCAACGCGTTATCTTAATTAATTATATAGGTATTAATAATTAATAAATAATAAGCTTCTTTTTTTCAGTTAAGAGTTTTAGTCAAGTTTCTTATTTATTAAACTTGAAGCTATATATTGAAAAAAAAGAACCTTTTTTTTAATATATATTTTTTTGGGGACTATGACCAAGGTGGATGCAATAAGTCTTTTATTCTCTGGAGACACGTCTTTTTTTTCAGTAAGTACGATATTTCTATAAATTTTCTATAGGCTTTTTTGTTTAGTAAATCTCGAACGTTATTTTTTTTAGCTTTATGAAAGGTCAGATCGTTTCCTATAACTCCACCAGGTTGCAGCACAAATTTGTCAGTCGTTTTCATTTCATCCAAAGAAAGTATATTTTGAATTTGGATCTTGATGATGTTATGACGTTAGCTAATAGATTTCTAGTAAGTTCTCTTAATCTATTTTATTCTTAATTTTCATAAAAAGTTTACTGTTTTACTTGAGTGTATTAAATCAACTTTATAGAATTATTACCGAGAAGTTTAATCTAAAACAACGAAATAAATTAGTTAATACGAGGTCAATGACTTTTCACACTGATTCATAAAACGCAAGAGAGTATGCTTCCGACTTTAAATAATAATATATTATTGCGTAACCAAAATGGCTGCAATAAAGGTTTCTATCTGCCATTTTTAATATGGCATCTTAAGCGATAAGCCAAAACTCTGACCTTTTAAAGTCCCTTAGTAAAAATCGATTGTAGCTTTTCGATTCGATTTAATACAAAAAGGTAGGATTTTTAACGTTTCCTGGTTTATTTTCCTAAGTGTTCTTTAAAAGCTTTGTTTTCTCTTTTAAAAAAAAGTAAAAAAAAAACTATGTATCCTTATAAGGCCCAAATTGCCTGGGAAAGTACGAAACCAGTTTACTATAAAAAAAAAGTGTTCTTGTCATAATTGACATAGATATGTACTATAACAAAGTAGACTATGAGTGAGTTTAGTCCAATTTCTCTACATCTGAGAAAATTTATGATTTATTACTTTTTGTAGAAGCATTTCAATGCACTTATTGATTAAATAAGTCTTAGGCACGTGTTTTTCATGAGTGAATTGACAAAAGGTGCTGATTGGTCATCGCAGAGATAAAACAAAAAAGCGCGAATTTCTTAGGCAGCTGTGTTTAACCAATCTATGTAATTTCCTATTTTCACTAGATAGAGACAAAGACAGCGTGAAAGGTCAATCAGTTTCTAGAAAGTTTTGCAGATTGCGTAAAAAGATCTTCGTTCAAGCTAGTCAATATCTCACTTTTCCAAAATGGTCTCAATCGACTCGGACCAATTATGGATGGTGATTACTGGTTTTATTATAGCATTCGCCCTAGCATTTGGAATTGGGGCTAACGATGTAGCTAACTCGTTTGGAACCTCTGTTGGATCGGGTGTTCTAACCCTTCGGAAAGCTTGTATTCTAGCAAGCGTATTCGAGACTCTCGGAGCAGTTTTATTAGGTATATTAATTAAATATTCCATTTTGGATTGTTACTTTATATAAATTTGGATTTTTTTTTCTCTTCTATAAATTAGGTGCGAAAGTATCAGATACAATACGGAAAGGAATTATAGACGTGACGCCCTATCAGAATGACACATCTTTATTTATGGTTGGTAATGTTGCAGCCCTATCTGGTATATTAATCTACTATATATTAATTATCTATTTAAAATGTTACTTCTAATAATCTAGTAATCGTACTAATATTTTCTTTTCCTTCTTCCTCGCAAATTTTTCTTCATAAAATAAGGCTCGTGTGTTTGGTTGCTAGCCGCAACGTTATTGAGGATGCCTGTATCGGCGACACATTCTATTGTTGGAGCAACTATTGGCTTTGCTCTTGTAGCCCATGGTTCTAAGGGGATTAATTGGCACAAATTAGGTCTAATAAGTAAGTAAATTCTTTTTAAACTCGCAAAACAAAAACGTTTTCAGTTCCATCAATTTTTTTTGTAAAAAGACATTTCGAACTAAAACCCGGACAAGCTTTCATTCGTCATAGGCATATCGTAGATAAAAAAAGACTATGTAAATTCAAATAATAAATAAACTTTGTTATCAGCTGAGATTATCGATTCATATATTTTATTGAAAATTTTTTCATTTAATCAATGAAAACTCGGTGAAATACCGTATTGAATAGAGAGAAAGGGTGTGATATTTGATTAACCATTCAACCATTCTTTATACATTAGTTTACATTTGAATTCAAAGAGAAAACTTGTATTTTAATAGAAGAGAAGAAGTAGCTTTTCTACGAAAAAGCGAACACAATAGGTTAAATAATACTTTGAAAAGTAAAAATAAAAAACTTTTTGCCTAGTCTTACAACTTTGATGAGGACTTTCTCCTTTCTCTCTCTCTCTCTCTCTCTCTCTCTCTCTCTCTACTCTACAAATAAGTAGTTTCAATAAAAAAGAGAATTTTTAATACTATCATTATAATTAAATTAAGAAAATTCGATAATGTAATAAAGTATGAAATGACTTAGAATATGGAGAAAATATAAAACAAATAATTTATTGACTAAGGAAGTTTTTATAAAAGAGAAAGAGAGAGAGAGAGAGAGATTGATATATAAAGATAGAAGGAATAGAAAATAAGAAAGAAAATAGAGTAAGATATGACTAATATAATATTTTAATAAGAAAGGGCTATTTAATTGCATATTAGGGAAATAGAGATGATTATTCACGCATTTTTATATTTTAAATTGATTAAATACAGTTGGTTCCTGGTTTATTTCTCCAATTGCTTCGGGAATCGTTTCAACATCGTTATTCTATTTTTGTAAATATTTCATTCTGAGAAAGAAGGATCCATTGGAACCTGGTTTACTATTTTTACCAATGTTTTATGGAATAACAATTATAATTAACTTGTTTTCCGTTTTTTATCACGGACCTAAAAGTAAGAGTTTTCTCTTTATTTTCCTTCGATTGTTAATCAGTGTTATACTAACGATTGTACAATATTATCTAGTTCTCCGTTTTGATAAGATACCTTTATGGGGAGTATTTATTATAAGCTTTGGATCTGGTTTAATAACAGCTGTACTAGTGAGACTCGTCATTGTTCCTTGGCAGAGGAAAAAAATTTTAAGTAAGTTTCTCGTTAAATCAATTAAGAGCATTAGTAAAGGGCTGTCCAACTTTTTTAATGGTTGCATTGATTGTTTACAGGACATTGCAAAGATTTTAAAGGGGAGAACAATGATAATTTGGTACAGGTTGAATTCGGAAATACTGCAGAGAGTTCTTCAAATGGATGTTCGCACAAAAATTTCACTCAGGCTTCGGCCATTGAACTAAAAGAAAAATGCGTGAATCTTTCTCCACCTGATGTTAAAAAAGCAATCGAGTCTAAAGAAAATGTATCAGATTTAAAGGAAATTATTGATAACTCGGAAACTAGTCTAACAAATGAAAAAGAACTAGTCGACAAATCTAATGAAATACAGATTAATGGTGAAGCTAAATCGATTCCTAAACCCCCTCTTGCCCTTGAGATTCCTACGGAAAATCAACGCTCAGTCGTAAAAGATAGACCAGAAACTGCTAGATTGTTTTCTTTTTTACAAATTCTTACGGCGATTTTTGGATCATTTGCGCACGGTGGAAATGACGTTAGCAACGCAATTGGGCCATTAGTCTCTCTCTGGCTTGTCGGAACCCAAGGAAAGGTTTTCGAAAAAGCGCCAACTCCAATATGGATTCTCTTCTACGGTGGTTTTGGCATATCAATTGGCTTATGGGTATGGGGAAGACGAGTAATAAAAACGTTGGGCCAGGATTTGACAAAAATTACACCTTCCAGTGGCTTTTGTATAGAAATAGGTTCGGCCTTAACCGTTTTGGTCGCCTCGAATATAGGCATACCCATAAGTACAACCCATTGCAAAGTAGGTAGCGTTGTTTGCGTTGGTCGATTTAGATCAAGGCAAAATGTCGATTGGAGCATATTTCGAAATATAGTATTCGCTTGGTTAGTTACATTACCAATTGCTGGTGGAATTTCTGCTGCTATGATGGCAGCATTAAAACTAACGTTAAAAACTGATTTCTGAAACTGCTTCTGTTTTAATCTTGTGTTAAAAAAAAGGGAAAAAAGGTTATTTTGAAGATTTAAAAAAGTATGCATCAAACATTGTTTCATGAACATTCCGTACTTGTAGTAGACTTGAAATACTGCAACTGTACATTGTATAAATATAAATATTGAAACTATATGCAATATATACTGTTTATATACATCTGTACAGTAATTATACAGTAAACATACTGTAAATATATATATATATATTTATAAAAGGAGCAAATATCAAAATTTATGAATCTATTTAAAAGCAAAAAGAATGAAAGATCTAATATTTTATCACAAATGCAAACGAATAAATGACTTGAAATTCGAACTCTACAGAATGAACATTTCAAATGATTCACTAAATAAGACTACTTGTCAATAAACAAATAGAAGTTGAATATGATAACGTATATGAATGGATAGAATAATATAAATATATTGTTTTTCTATATTGTTCACTTTTCCCAATAGTAAGTAACTTTTATTTAGTGCAATTCTTTTCTATTTATAAATCAGACATACTTTTAGGCCCAACTAATCAAAAACAAGCAGATATTTTATATCTTTCACAGATTATAACGTTCTAAAAACAAAAAGTTTATTAGCTTCTTCTTTATTGTTAATAATCGTTCTTGTCAAAAAAAGAGATAGTATTGACATAGTATTGAAAAGTAAAAAAAAAAACTGGAGAATCCGGGGATCGATCCCGGGACCTCTCGCATGCTAAGCGAGCGCTCTACCGCTGAGCTAATTCCCCATAGTTAGAATAAGGCTGCTTTTGCGTTACTACTTACTTTAGGACTATATAAATGTTATCAATTTAAGCGGAAAGTGACAACACTAGTGATGAAATTTTTGGCATTTATTTATTTATATCTCAAACGGTTAAACTAGGTCTCAAGAAGATAGTTTAGTAATAAGATTATAAACTGTAGATATTGGACACCGTGACCTTCAAATCTTAAAAGACATCACCATTATTCGACTGGCACGAGATATAAAAAGGGGTAAAAATGTTTAATTGGCGAGACCATGTTATCCTTTTCTAATTACTATTCTGATAGGAGAAGAAGGCAATTTCTTTCCAGCAAGAGGAAGTTGTCACTCAAAAATGGTATTTAATTAGAGATCGATGTCTTAATAGAACTGAAAAAATGTTGTTAATATAAATTACTTAAAACTATGAAAATTAGTTTTATTCGAATCTTTAGTGAAACACGTATCCCAAATATTTACAACTAAGGGCAAATAATTACCTCACTTCCATTACAGTAGTGGTTTTTTTTAAATATATATATATATATATATATATATATATCTTAGTATATAACACACATTCACTCCTAACTCATGCTCTCATTCCAGCTAAAAGACTTTTCCCTTGCAGGTGCTTATTTTATAAAAAGTTGCCTTAATCGTTTCTTTCGTTTACCTACTTATAATAAATTATTACAAGTTCTCTTTTAGCCTATTTTTCTCTTTTCTCTATCAAACAACATTTAACCAATAAAAAACTCACTGTTTTACTTCGTGAAAATTTGCGCAATAAAAATATCAAGATTTCATCTCTAATTAGAATTTTAAAGATTATCCAGGAGATTTTAGCCTATATACCAAACTAACCAAAGTACATCATAAATAATATATGGTTGTTGTGTAACACTTCATCCTTGTATAGGCACTTGATAGTTTATACATTTTTATTATAGATTGCATTGCAATTCAAATTCTTAGATGATCCTTAACCATTTATTCAATTATTCGAAATTGATATTTTAATAAATAAAATAAACATTGTCAAATGAGGACGGATAATAGGAAAAATAGTGTTAAAGGTTATATTCCAGTTAAAAAGGAGCGTGACAAAGAGGACAGCAATGCCTAGAATTCATTTCCGCTGCGTACGCTTGGTGCTTACAAGTGTTGCACATCCAAAATTGATAATCCATTAACGGTCTTCCAGTTGCCATGCAAACTTGAAACTTCGAATCGCAGCTTGTACATTGAGTTGACCTATAGTGTCAATAGAGGTTAATCAGATAAGAACGTATCTATTGATGCATTTAGAATAACTAACCAGTCAGGAATTCGAGTTTCGCAGTGAGGACAGTTTACGTCAGTGTTACGCTGATTCTTAGGAGCATGTCTAAAAGGATAAATTTCAAGGTTAAATTTACATTTCTTTTTTACTATAACTCAGCCTATTGGTCAGCTATACATGTCTCTTTTAAGCAAAGGAACTATAGCACTTAAGGGAGGGTTGATTTTCATTCGATAAAAAGAGAAATTGGATGTCGTTTCTTTAACACTATTATATTACAATTTAAGGAAACTTAAGGGAAGCAGATAAAATAAGAGTATCCTTCCGTCGTTTACTCTTCTCTCTCTCTCCCCTTTAGTCCCGTCTTTTAAGGAATTCTATAATTATTTAGCTTTTTGAAACGGAAGATACTTTGTAAATATATCCAGAGCCAACTCTTCATATAGTTCCTTATTCTCGAGTGATTCTAATTTAATAAACGCCTTTGAAGCAATTCCAAACGCTCGATTGTCGCAAGCCGTCAAAGCTGATAAATTGCAATTGAAAGAATTACGAAAATTTTAAAAGCTCCACCTTGTGTTTAAAAATGTTTACCGATTAAAGAATGACTATCCGACACATCCATAACGTCGTCATATTCACGGAGATGATAAGCCGTTTTCATTGCTGCGTCAACATAACCTTGATACAGCTGTTTCTGACTGAGAATGAAGAGATGGTACGCTTCCGCGCCTCTCCAAGCTTGATCGATCAATTTCGTATCATCAAAGGATGATGAATCTTCATTTAGCATGCCAGCTAATGATGACGAAGCCTTAAATTAAAAATAAATATAAATGGTTGATGTCTACATAGCATTATTTAATATTAATTACTATTTACTACAATAAATAAATGTGATAAATAAGGTAAGTAGTTAAATATCTTATCTAAATAATAACCCATAAATTGCTATTAATTCGTTTTGTAGTTCGACTTTTAAGTAACTAAATAAGTGTGTTTCGTTGTTTAATAAGTTATGGAATACGTAACAATTTGATGATTGTCAACAAACCTCTTGATTTTTCTTAGATTGAGATGTATGATATTTTGATCTGGCTGTCAGTTTCATTTGTTCATTATGTTGTTCAACCAATAGAGCTGCTAATACATATAACTTCTTAATTCTTAAGGGTTTTGATTTTTTCTTCGTTTCTTCTCCAGCCAACTAAATATTGAGAGAAAGTATTATTAACTTTTGATAAGAAGTAGCAATCAACGATTTCTCAAACCTTGTATAAAAGTTTGGCGGCATCTAGGAATCTATTAGCTTTACGGTACAATTCAATAGCGTTTATAATTTTGTTCTTTTCTAACAGATGACTGGCGTATTTTGTTAATAAACCATCTATTTCTTTCATATTAAACTTCTTTGCCAATTCGATTGCTTCGTTCCATTGATTGAGCTGAACGCAACAATCTATAGCCTGCTTTACTTTGTTACATTTTACGAAAGCCCGAACAGCCTCAACGCACATTCCTACAGATACTAATTTTTCTGCAATATCACTCAATAAATTATGATTTTCTGGCAATCCATCGGCTAATTTAGCTAGAGCCTCATAATCTTCAAGCATATAATAACATTTCGCTAATCTTTCTTGATTATTGCCCAATACGTAATATCTTACAGCTTCGCTCCTGTCAAATAGTTTATAATTTTGGAAATTTCAAATATTTCAGGATATTGTAGTAGTAAAAACAAACCATTTTTGTCTATCGGTAAAGAGATCACCTATAGCTATATATGCTTCCTCCATCTGTTGATCATCACCACCACCTTGTTTCAATAGGTCAACGACTTTGATCCAATCACCTAATTTCTTTCTCATTGCCACAACCATATCCCTTCTATCCAAGCTCAAATAATGTCGATCGGCTTCGTCATATCTATGGAAATAAGCTGCAACTTCTGCCTTTCTCATAGCTTCATTCTAAAAATTTGTTTATATTTTAATGCAACTTATTGGACTACCAATATGTATATAAATATATTAGGGTCACCTTGGAAATTCTCGCCGCTTTGCTGTATTTTTAAAATGGTACACTGTAGGCTTATATTCTTAATCATTAATAGAAAGTGAATTGATTAAGGTACTGTCACTAAAAACTTTCTCAACTTACAAGCCCCAAATTAAAAGTTATTGAGACTTAGTCGTGGCACGGTATGGATGACGGTATAAAGCAGAGAGTAATTATTCAATTTCTAGTATCACAACAAGTTATTACAATCAATTTTTATAAGCAATTGAAAGCTGTTTTCGGTAGGTACAGCACTTAGCGAAGGTTCAGTAAGAAAGTGGGTTAGAGAATTTTAAAGAAGGAAGAAGAAATATACTTGATGATGACAGGCCAGGACATTACAGGAAATGAAATTAATAGAATCAGGCCAAATAAAGAGGTGATTTTTTTGCAAGACAATATCAGATCTCATACCAGCCTACAAACTAACCAATATCTTGCAACAACTGGATGGCTAATATTGCCTCATACAGCCTACAGATAGATCTTGATACATCAAACTATTATCTTTTCTGGAAATTAAAGGACCATCTTCGTGGACAAATATTTGAAAATGATGACGAATTGAAAACAGCAGTAAGGGCATTTTTTAGGTCCAAGCCACCTGAATACTTTGCCAAAGGAATTGATATGCTTCCTACCAGGTCGCAAACATGCATTGATAATAATGGGGAATTCGAAGCTAAATAGATATTCCTAAGACATTAATTATTATTTATAAATAAGCATATTATGTAATTTTTGCTTAGCTGATGGACACAAATGGCGAGAATTTTCAGGGTGACCCTAATATAACTGTACTAAAAAACTATTAAAATAGTAAAATACCTGCAAATGACTTAATCTCTTTGTAAATTCTATACCAGAGTAGTCTTTACATCTAACAAAAGATGATTCTGCTACTTTAAGATCAAGCTCTTCCAAAGCAGCCTCCGCTAATAATCGCCTAAAAAAGTATGAAAAGAAATTGAATATTTTCGTTATAGAATGTTATACGGACCATAATCTAGGATGAGGATTATCCTCGATAAACGATTCAGCGTCCTTCAAACCATTTTTGCTTAATATTTCTCTTGCATCTCTTAGAGACTGAATATTAAACACAATTACATCTTTCACTCTATAAATGATATTAAAGTTAAACTGACTTTAACTTCTAAATCCAATAAATTTTCCTTAGAAGGAACTTCAGGGTCTTTCATAATTTCATCTAATAAAACTGATCTTATTTGTAAGTCGCTAAATTGACAGAGATAGCCACTTGATGATACTGGTTCCTTTATTTAGAAATTATGTTTAGTAGGTCGATAGCGCAATAAACAAAAGAGTAAAATTACCTCAGGCTCAGTACCACGGTAGACGTACATTTTAGTTTTTTCCATCATAGCAAATAATTCAGCATTGTCCTATAGAAATACAAATAAAAAAACTATGTAACCAAATGGTTTCTTCGTTCTTGATATCTACCTCAGCCCATTTCATATCCCAAACATCTTTTCTTTCAAATTTCAAATGCTCTCCCACAACCTCATTCCCTCGAGTTGGGTCTGTCATTCTCGTTTCTAGGTCGTAAAAAGTTAGTAATCCCGAAATATCTATAATAGCCAGTCTCCTATAATTTTTAAAAGTTTTACAATCATTTAAAGCAAATAATTGAATGTCATAACTTACGAGGAACTGCAATTTAGACTAATTTGATATGGTTTGCATGTTGTTGAATGCTTATACTGAAGGGCATGCTGGGGCATTGAATATCGATTTAGCGTTCCTGATTCTCTTGCTATTACTAGCACTTTTTCTGTAGCCGCAATTGCACAAATTGCATCATCGGTCGGCTGTAAAGATTTTACTGTTTTAGGAATATTAAACTATTTCATAAAATCCTATGAGCAATTAGCTTCCTTAGTGATAATTTGGGCGTGTTATTATAATATTTCTAATGCTATAAAATTGTAAGTTAAACACAAAAAAAAGCACTGTTGATTAATTTACCCTTTTAGCATTCTAAAATAAAAGGTTATAAGGATAAATCAAATTAAAAATAATCTTCAAGAAAGCTACTTACTTTATAGGCCTTATTGAAATCAACATCATCACCACCAGCTCCGGAAGGCACATCGTCCGCGTGGAAAAGTCTAAAATAATTTTCATAGATATTTTTTAATTAATAAGAAATTGTTTGAAATGAAAAGTACCTTTCCACCCCTGCTTTACGATTGGAAACTTGAACATCTAAAGTAATTACTTTCTTAGGATTCTTAAATTGCCATGTATAGAATGCTTCTCTACACGCAGCAATTATATGAGATTTTGTCATTGTTAAATAGATCGGTTGAAGGTCTAGGTATTTTGAATCCAAAGGTGTTCCAATTGCGTTGCAGAGTACCAATACGTACTAATTTAAAAAATCAATTTAATAAGAACAAAAAGAATATTTCGTAAATTAGAACAAAATAATGTGTTCATATTTATATATTCTGACAAAAATAAAGCATTGTTCGATTTTCAGTAGTGTCTTGAATTTGAGATAATTTATGCATTAAACTTGTTTAATTTTAAGATAACCTCTAAAAAATATTTTGGAAAAGTGATAAAAAAAAGAAAGGCAATTTCAATAACAGTATAACAAGAGTTTTAAACAGTGCCCCAGAGATAGTAGATTACAAAAATCACTTATATAAGCACTCATTGCATACCCTGAATTCTGGTGTTACAAAATCCGGAAACTAAATATTTATCATGCCGCCAAGCAATTAGTGAAGTCATTTATATTGTTTTTTGAATATTTTTTTGTAAATACTTTTTTCCTTATCACCATTAGTAAAAAAAACTATAAAACAACCATACCTGAGTATTTGAATCCTCAGCTCTAGTTGCCAAACAGCAATAATCTCCGCATGCAGTTATCTTTATGAGATTTTTTACGTATTTCAAATATCGCTAAAAAAACGAATTCCACAAGTATTAAGACTCATAATATTTAATATATATATATATTTGAAAACAAACCTCATTGTTTTTACAATCCCAAAAAACGACACATTGTTCGTTCCTATCAGATCTCATGTAGGAATAAACAACGGTGTTTGTACAATAGGCCCACTAAAATGAAATGAATAAAAATGAGGTTGAAGTGATTTAATAATTTACTATTTACTTTGTAATCAGGTCTGATATTGGCAAAGTAAAGAAATGAATCAACAGCCAAAATTATTCTAAGACTCCCTCCTTCCCAGGAACAGCTGTAGATTTTTTTACCAGGGACCTTCAACGTTCTTAGATGCTATAAGCATACAAAGATTTAAAATGAAAATATGACATATTTGTATGTTTGTTATTTACCTCGCCAAAAGGAGTGTAAAATTGAACAACATTTATGGTTTTTTCCTCTCCTTGCTGTTGAAGACCGCAAATGGCCAAAGTGTCTCCAGAATGATTCCAGCTACATTGGCAGATTGTTATTCCAGAATCAACAAGAACTGGAGCTGTAATAATTCCACTTTTACTCAAAAATATGGTATATATACTAGTAATATAACATACCATCATCAACTTCATTTCTCATGATTTGGCAACGACCGTTCCTGAATGCTATAGCCAATGATGGACAATTTGTTTCTATATAACCATGATTTCCATTATACCAATCCATGCTAACTATATCGGATGAACCAGTATCTTGCAAACAATAGATATCAACTTGACTCTAATAAACAAAGAGAAAATAATTTGAATTTATTCTGTTATTATGAAGTCAATATGTATAAAACTTACTATTGGGTTACCCATTGAATCGTAACTATGAATTTCACCATTGTTCATTGCGAACAAAAGCATTTTACCATCAGGTGACCACTAGAATGGGAGAAAAGCAACGTTTCCTTTTAAAATTACAAAATAATATTATTCTAATTAATTACTTCAACTCCATTTAAACGAGAATTTTTCAATTCCTTTCCCCAAATACGACTTCCATCAACCGAACCAACAATTACAGCTCCATCTTCATATACAATGCATATTTTCTGACCATCGGCATTCCATTTCATGCCTCTGACAACTGATTTATTTCTGTTATTGATCATTTCTTCATACCAAGATCCCTTATAAAACATCCACACAATGATTAGACCTTGTTGATCAGATGTCGTTAGTCTATGGAAATGCTCATTCCATGTTATCACTTGAACAGCGCCTTAAGTAAGAAAAAAATAAAGTAAACATAGTATCCAATCAAAAAGAAATCAATAATATATTTTTTCTGTTAAAGATATATTTCTTAAAGTTACTTAATTAACTCACCAGAGTGGCCTTCTAACGGTTGGTTCATAGTCAAATTACTTTGAGCAGCCAATCCTTTGACTTTAGAGTCTAGTGACAATTTTTTGGAGTTATTTAAAAAATTTTCAACTTTAATTTTTTAAAAACTGACCTGAAACATTAGTTTCTAATTTTAAAACTTTTAAAAGTCCATCCTCTCCACCACATGCGATATAACCAAATTCTTTGTTCCAAGATGTACATCTTAGCTTTACGTTTTGAGGAATAGCAATCTAACGAATAAAAAGAATATAAGAAAAACAGCAATAAAACTATTAAAACTATGCAAATAAACATTTTGGGTATGTTTTTATGTAATTACCTTTTTGCTCAAATAAATAAACATCTTAAATTCGGAAATAAAGAAAGATCACCGTAATTTAAAAAAGTTATAGAAATTTTAATATTAAAAGAATATTCGGAGCGCCATAGCAAAACTATTTGGTAGGAAGTGTTTTGCGATAATCTCGAAATGTCTCGCTACTATGTTAGAACAAAGGTTATTGGCTATATTTTTTCTCTGAAATCGTATTGGTTGATTTCAACCACGTGATCTTCCTTTCGTCTCGTGTGCTTGAAGAGGAAGGTACGTCGATAATATTTTGCGCAATTATCATCGATATAATCATAAATAACTTCTCAAATTACCTGTAAAAAGATATATAAACTAATGTTTACTAATATTTCAGTTAATTCAATCACGATAAATCGCAAAAATGGTCGCTACCAAGAAACCGGTAAGATACTAAAATGTAGCACGTGTCTCATTATATAGCTATAAATATAAATTTTACAGAAAAAGTCCATGGAAAGTATCAATGCAAGACTTGCGTTGGTAATGAAGAGTGGCAAATTTGTTTTGGGTTATAAGCAAACTTTGAAAACCTTACGTCAAGGAAAAGCCAAGCTCGTTATTATTGCTAATAACACGCCATCTTTGAGGTAATATTCCATTTTTTTATTAACAAAATTCAATGACTTCGGAGTCGTTTGACCAAGATGAAGTCGCTTGTAATAATACAAGTGATTTTTTCTAAAAGATGAAGTCATACTAGCCTATAAGAAGGAATTTATATCATATGAAAATTTCACAGGTGATTTATTTGGAGTTCTTTTAAAATTAAAGATCAAGGGTAGAATGATGTTTAAATGTTTCAGATTTGTCTTAGCTAATTATGCAGATGAATTTTACTGATCAAATAATCATTTTGCCTTTAATTTACGTCAATCGACATTGTTGATAAAAACGCTTTTTGCAGAAAAAGTGAAATTGAATATTATGCTATGTTGGCCAAGACTGGTGTCCACCACTACAACGGATCCAACATTGAGTTGGGAACTGCTTGCGGTAAATACTTCCGCGTGTGCACGATGAGCATCACCGATCCAGGAGATTCCGATATCATCCGTACTTTGCCTTCTGAAAATCAATAAATTTATTGAATACAAATCAGCAAAGTAAAAGTGAAAAATTAACTCAGTCTTCGTAGAAATTTTTCTCAATAACATCCAAATAAACCTTATTTCCTGATCTTGTAAAAACTTCAGCTACTTTTAATCGACGGAACTTTTCGGTTATTCTTCTATTCATTATCTTTGTGAAAATTTTATTTATCAGTGTTGAGCAAGTCTTTTGCACAACTCTCCAGAATTTCGTATTTACCCTTAAAAATTTGTTAACATTAATTTCCAAGCTGATGTTAAACAATTATTTTACCTCTCTTGTAAATGTAATACAATAGCAAGCTTCTCAAGTTTTAGTATAGACTCTTTACTCTGTTCAATAGTTTCTAGACGTCTTGTCATTATCGCAACCATCAAATTGATCATGACTACTCCAATTGTCATAACGCAAATCATATATAGCATTACAGAAAGTGTGGGCATGGCAGATTTTCGGAAATAAATGTCATATGGAGCCATCACTGTCAACATTAATAAATACGTTTCATAAAGACTGCCGAGGAAGGAATCAAACATAGGCAGCTTGCAGGAATCGCTTGTTGAGTTATTCTGACCACCAGAACAATTTGTATCCTGATGTTGTAATATAAAGAATGAAACAGCGAAACCAAAATATATCATAAAAGCCATAAACAAGAAAATGAACGTACTATAAAGCATTTTCTGAAATAGGACAATTGAGTGTCCCATGCCATCTAGTAGTTGCAAGAAAAATAATAAAGATAGAGCTGCGCAAAGACCGTTCAGAACATAAAGAAATCTACCAAAATTTTGGCATATTCCCACTTGTATCATACTATTGAAAACAATTAATAAGCTTGTCGTCGCGAATATTAGTTGAAAGATTCTATGGGGGAATATAAACGTTACAGGAACTTTACCTTTCCAATAGTTTTTCAACGTATGTAGTAGTTGTCTTATGTTATCTTTACTATGAAGAATTTCGGGTATGACAATGCAGAGAGAAAAACAAAAGATAAGCGTCAAAGCAAAAGAATTATCTTTCCCCTTTCCGTAAAATGAGAGTAATTGCATATAATAACAACAAACAAAGATTAGCCAAAATACCACAAAGAAAACGATTGTCCTCATAAATTGTTGTATCTTTCTCTCCGACCAAGTTCGGAAAGGTTCCCTAGATAAAATATGAATGATCAATTGAAACTTACCACTTACAAAAGATTTAATGCAAACGTACGTTAATAATAATCCACATTTATTTGCTCTCACTATTTGAATTTCATTCATTTCGGTAAGATAATAGAGAAGTGATTTATGAGGTTTTGACTCTTCCGACTCATAATCAGTTACATCATAGCGTGTTATATTAATAACACCGCAACGTGAGATAACCCACCTGTAAATGTTTTCCGTATTGATAATTGTGCGAGTCATTTCTGTTAGGCCTAGTGATGCAGATAATTCAACAGGATTTAAATCGGACTTATTTCTCCGAGATAATAATTCTTTGATTAGATCTATGCTTTGATTTAGCAAATATCTATACATTAAAATCGCTCTATCGGGCATATCATTTGACAAAAGAACCAAATTATGAATAATGTTGTTTCCTTTCGAATCGGCTTCGTTATACTGCGCACCATGGTATAAAATTAACTCTATTAGATCTGTAATTAAATGTCTAGACTTGTTATTTTTTTTTTTTAAAAAAATAATGAAAATGAAAAAGTATAAGCAGTCAGAAGTTAATCACCTGTGTCACCGGTTGAAAAAGCTAAGAATAGTGGCTTCTCAAATTTCTCTCCAACTTGTGAATAAGAAGTTACAGCTCTTAAATTTTCAAAACTATGATTCTCCGGTAAGAGAATTTTACGATCCGACTGTGATAAAAGATTTTCAATTCTTGTCAAATAAAGATATTCAGGCAGAGTTCGAGATAAAGCGGGATATTTATATTCAATATCAGCGTTCAAAACAAAATTCTTAAGATTTCTATCTTCAATCTCCTCTAGCAATTGTCTTACAACAGAAAACAAATTTCGAGCTATAGCAGTATGAAAGGGTGTTACTAATAGTTTACTTGTTGAAGTTCCAGTATTAAAAACATGTTTAAAATATAAAAGAGACGTTTTAATTTGAAGATCGCCTTTAGAATTTAAAGTCAATGACACACCTCCAGGTGTGCTTTCATCCATTTCTTTTACTGAAATAAAACTAGATTATTTCTATGGAGATTTTTCCTATAAGATAAGGGTGTTAATGTAAAACTTCTAGAAGTTACGTGAATAATGACAAGACTAATAGCCGAAGATAAAGCTTTATAAATTATTTATTTATTAAGTAGTTTAATGCATTCATCAACAAAAATACATAGTATAAATTATGCAGATAAATCCAAATTAGTTCCTAATATCACTTTGTCATGTTTACCCGTTAAAACTTCCAGATGAGTATCTTCAGGAAGACCTAAGGTTAAAAAGAAGAAACAATTAAAATATCCTATTAGTCATCAAAAAGAGTTTTTAATAAAAACGATACTCGATTTTATTAATTATTAATATAATTATATAAATATAACAATTTAAAATAACCGGTGTGTAGGGCTATAAAGCCCCGTGTTGCTTTATTGTTTAATGCCATAGCCGTGTGAGGGTCAAGGGTATGGCAGAAATCCAATATTCTAGCCAACTTTGTCGGAATAACAAATTGGAAGTCTGACTGAGTTTGGTGACATGTTCCTCTGTAAAAGAAAGAGAGAGATGGTGAGAAAATCATTTGGAATGTATTTGTTTACCTTATAGTAATCAATATTCTTTTAAGATCATCGTTTTTGTTTGGATCGATTAACTTATGCATGGATCTGACGTTATCTGCCCATTGAAAAGTTTCGGTATTTACGAGGAGTAGAGGCTGAGTAACCTTCGAGTATAGATCATTGTCCAAGGGAGCCATCCAACTATCTAGACCAACGCCAACTCTGTTTAATATAAAAATCATATGGTGAAAATTAATATTATATTTCATCAGATTTTCGTGAAAGTTTATGTTAAACAAACTTGAATCGTTTGTCCTTGGCCAAAGCTGAGACAACTGTTGCACCACCAAAAGAATGGCCAACAACTGATACTCGATTTAAATCGAGTAGTCCCTTAAATTGAGCCATATTAAAACTACCCAAATAATTCTTTTCGCATTCGCCACTGTTAACTCGTGTGAGAACATCTAAAACTTTTGAGCATTCGTCCGCCCTTGTATGAACTTGAGGATTTCTTAGGTCGTAATTTAATTCATCTTTTTGTCTTTCATATAGTATCCATTTTTCTTGGAGGGCATTATGAGATTTTAAAAATAATAAGTCATTGAGGTCAAGGGTTTCTATAGATTCGGAATGAAATGGAGATTTGAAACAGCACGTCATCGAAGCGGATCCATCTTTATGCTCAATAGCGGCAACAAGATATCCACAAGAAGCAAAATCTGTACATATTGTAGTATAAGTTGTTCGATTACCCCCGAGACCGTGAGAAAAGACAATAACTGGATGCTTTTTATCCTTACGAGGAGGTGCTTGCCAAAGAGCAGGAACGTATACGTCACCTAAAATATTATTATATGAAGCTAGTGTAAATGAGAAAATATGAAGAAATTATATATAATAGTCAATAAATCTATTCACTCTTTCTATTTAATCCACTCAATCCCTTATCATTAACCCTATTTCACTTATCAAAAGTCAGCAAAAAAAGTGTACAAATATCAAAAATAATCAAACTTTTGACCTTATTTATACAATTATTTATAAGTCGATTATAAAATATGATAATCCTAGTTTACATTTGTTTGTTGACAAAATTGATGCATTATCATAAAGATACGTATTTTTTTATATACAAGGAAACTATTGCGTACTTTTTAAGTAGTAATTAAGAACGTAATTGGAAATTTTCGATTGAATAATAGAGATTAACAGGCGAGGCCTTGCGAAATCAAATAAATTGATTTTCAATCCATTCAATAAAAAAAATTACCTCCTAGCCAATTTAGAAGATTACCCAGTATTTTCACATAGCGTCTAAAATACACGTATCCATAGCAATATTGCTTTCTTGGTAACCAAAGGGGCCATTGTTCTTTTCTTGACTATGAATTATTTTGGTTTTTTTTTTTTTTGAAGAAAAAAGATGTTGTTAAGCTATTTATTTTATTTAATTAAAAGTAAACAAATCAATAAAAAGTTACCATGACATCGGTCACTTCTGTTGGATAAAAAAGTCTTATAAATGGATCTTTTGCAGGATTTCCAAACATAACATCAGCAAGCCCCACTGAGTATTTACCACTCCCTTGTGGCAGGTGTCTTCTTTTTCTCCCATTATTATTTGTCCATGTGAGATAGTTACTGACACTGTTAATACGATTAGATAACAATTTTCTCACGTCGGGTAGAAAGTTCAGTATATTAGTTACGCAAAGAAGATCCATGGCACAAGTAAAATATCAACCTAGACTTACTGTCTTAATACTACACCTATTCACACGGCTTAATACCATAGGCCTCTAATGTGTCATTTCTTTATATATATATAAATGAATAGGCCAAAGAGTAGGCCTAGAGTATGAACAGCGGCCCTGCCGCCACTCCCCATCTAGGATTTTAGAATAAGTGTTAAATAGATAGAAAAGGACTGCTGCATATATATTTTTCAATTTTAAATCCATTAATTTTTATTTATGTATTGTAATATAAATAGAATATTCAATACTTAATTAGCCCATATCTAACTACTTTGTTCCATTATCATGTGCTCTTTTGTTTCAGTTAAATATATCTACATATGTATATATATATATATATATGTAGATATTAGTATATATATGCAAAGTATAAACATTTATAAATTAATCTATACAAATAATATAAACGTATTCCGTATCACAACTCCCTCAGCCTTTTCTCCGCCCACCTTAAACCAGTCATTATTTCACTTTTTTTTTCTCAACGATCAATTTAAGCTCCTCCCTTATTTTCCCTTCTTTTTTTTCAACGCCCTCCCTGAGACTTTACTTTGTTTGTTCTATTAATTATCTTCCATTCATTAATTTATCGTCTAGGTCATAAACAAGTCCAGGACACAAGATCAGCATTTATCTACTTTATTATTAAAAAAAATAAAAGAGTCCATTATTCGCTAATTATAGTTATTGTTTCTTCTAAATGTTATATTTTATAAACAGAGTTTCTATGCTGGAACAAGGAAAGTAGACTCAAATTTAAGAGAAATCAAAACAGTCCAAGTAGATTATCATAAACCAAAATATATACAAAAGAGGATAGTAAGTTAATAGAAGTAGGTTAAGGAGTGATGCTATTAGGTTCATTGAACTAGTTAACAAATCGGTACGGATATGTGTAATACCTAAAATATTTGTTTAAAAAACGTAGGTTGATGGTGACTATCAGATCAGGTCTATATCTTGGAGATAATCGTTTCATACTTATCGACCCTGATCAGGTAATTATCGTGCTATTATCGTTTTGTTCAAGGCTAATGTTTATCAAAGAATAAGCACTGATTACTGATATAATTCGATAAATTTTCCATTGCTGTAGCCCTATACCGTCATCTGTAGACAAACCCATTGAATTTTGCATTAAAAGTCAATAAAGTACGCTCGCATTTTATACACGTGGCTATTTCGAGAATGAAACCACAACTAGTAGTTCTTGTATTATTTCTTAGCTCCGCCGAAATGCGATTTCGGAAAGATCTAAGTATGGATTCGTCTTTCCCGCCCGACATAATACCTCAAACGCCCGGAAGTGTTATTCCAACGGGACATTTACGGCCAATCGGTAAGATTCAATTTAATAAATAGTAATAAGAAAAGTCGTCTAGTTTCATTGTAGCACTCTAATAATGTTTGTTAATATTTCTTTTGTAACTCTTCTATAGGTTGGCAAAGAAGGCCTGAAGCACCCTTAAAAGAAAGAGTAGATTTTCCAAGTCCGAGAGAATTTTACAATGAATATGTCACAAAAAATATTCCAGTAGTCTTTAGACAAGCAATGAAAGATGCTCCTGCCATTACAAAATGGGAAAGTGATGACTATCTTAAGAAAGAGTAAGTTAATTCTTTCATCATCCAAAAAAAGTACTTTTATTTATCTTTCTAATTAGATATGGAAATCTATTGGTTCACGTAACAGTTAAGAAGGAACGAGCAAAGCAAATGGATAACAAGAAAGTTACTTTTAGACAATTTCTCAAAGAATACCAATACGAAGATTGGTATTTGAGCAATATTGTACCGCAAATGATGACTTTAGACTTGACAGTAATGATAAAATACTTTATACAACTACAACATATCAATTTCTTTTTAATTTTGCAATCGTTTGCAATAGCTACCGAAGATAATGAGATGCGGATTTACAAAGTATCTTTTGGAAAGTGGATTATGGATGAGTTCTGGTGGAACATCTTCTCTCATTCACTCTCATGCCGATCATAATCTTCATTGCTTACTCGCTGGAAGAAAAGACTTTACAGTAATTGAAGAAAAATACAAAGAAATGTTACAATACGTCAATAAAGTAGATAATGAACAAATTTTTTCAAATTATATATAATTAGTAATAATTCTAATACTGTTTGCTTGAAATAGGAACCTCATCACGGCGCTGGCTATTCAAATTTGGACGTAGACATGATAAACATGTTTAAAAATAAGGATATTAAGAAAGTTCCTTGGACATGGGCAACTCTCAGGGCAGGAGATTGCGTATTTATACCTGCTCGTTATATTCATCAAGTTCGTTCGTGGGGCAGAAGTATTTCTTCTACGATCTTATTCTCTCCTACACCGACATTATCATTTTCCGATTGTAATAGAGTCGAATTATCTGACGAGGTTCTCCTAAGCGATGCAACTTTTATGTGGACCTATATCAACGGAGATAGGGTATATATAATTGACATTTGTATGCTTTATATCCTAATATAAATGTTTCATGTTATTTTCTTAGCAATTGAGTAATTCAAAGTTAAATGCTGCAAGTTTAAGGCATCATTTAATAGTTTTAATGCGAGAACGTGGACAGCTAAAAAAATCAATTTTTGATGATTTTTTTAAAGAAGTTATGAAGCAGGTATTTTATATACACACACATATATATATATATATCTATATACTTTTGCGACATCTAGCGTATATTTTTATATTTAATACAATAGTCCAAACGTCAAGAGATATCTACAAGTGAAGTATGGAAGTTGCTAAAACCGGGAAAAAGAAAATCGATTCCCAGAAGTGAAATTGAAGCACTATCCGACGAGGATTTAACGAAAGTTGCTGATATTTTAAATGTTCTAGATATTAAAAAAGATGAACTTTAAAGAAATATGAAAAATTTAAATGTTTCCATATTTTTCGTGTTTAGTGAATAATAATGTTATCTATTTGCTACTTTTAAAAAAAAAAGAAACATTTGGTGAACATATGAAAAAGTTTAATGGTAATCTAGAAATGGTCGCACATAGATAACGCACGAACGTTTAAAAATGAAGGTTCAAGGAATATTTTTGTTCATTTTCGAAATTTTAATACAAAATACCAAATGTAATGGAAAAGATTCTTTTTCATATTTATTTTCAAAACCAACTTTTAATAAGACGATAGAAAAGAATCATTTTATTCTTCCTGGTTATATGAAAGAAGTCTATTTGACTGAAAGCAGGAAATTTCTTCAAGACAATCGTAGAATGGTCATAAATTTTAGAAATGCAGGTATATATTATATTATTTTCCTTTGTTTTTCTTTTTTCTTACTGCGTATTTTGTATTTCTAGCTAAAGACCAGGATTCTCTACTTTATCAATTTAAGGATATACCAAAACAATTACATTGTATTAATGCTGAATTAAAGCTGTTAAAGACTAAAAAGACAACAAATTTTCAATTATATGTTTATATTGTCTTAAAAAACAATATAAAGTAAGTAAAAAAAGTTGATTTTAATTCTTCTTTTCATTTTCAACCGTCTATTTAATATCTTATAGAAATTTGGCGAATAAACTGAAAATACCTAAGAATTACGAAGGTTTTATTAATATTAATATTAATTGTAAATTAATTACCATGAAGAAAAAAAGAATGGACTTGGCCTTACATGTTAAATTGATTGATTATCAAGGTAACAGCTTTACTAAATCTGTTATATGTATACTTTAATTTAAATATTTTCTATAAGGCAGAGATATTAATTTAATTGAAGGTGGCTTTGACCAATTTCAATCCGAGACCTATTTTATATTAACTCTTGAAAAATTTCGACATTTACATGGGCGTATCGAAAAGGGTTTCATAAGGATTAAAAGACATTCCCCAAAACTTAAAAATCGTGGTAAATTTTCCTTATTCGTATAAATGTCTTTTAATATTACTATATTTTATAAAAACAGAAAATCAAGATGATTGTAGACTACATCCTTATTCGGTTAATGTCGATCGTTTAGGATACGGAGTAGGTTTTCCTTATCATTTTAAACCGTTAACTACTAAGTCTATATACAAAATTTCCGTTGATTTAGGAAAGGATATTCTTGCCAAAAGTTTTTGAATTTAATTATTGCAAAGGTCGTTGCGATCACAGAAATTTAAATGGAGAAAATATCGACAATCATGCGCTTATGACTTCTTTATATAAAAATATTAAAGGAAGATCAAAAAGGTTAGTTTGTGTTATTTCAACATGTTTAATTTCTTTTTTTTTTTTACAAATTTATTCATTTTACAGAAATCCTAAATTATGTTGTGTACCAACTAAAACGGAGCCATTAAGTTTGTTGTTCACTGATCACTTCGGTAATATTATATTTGATCAGATTGATAATATGGTAGCAACAGAATGTGGATGCCGGGCGTAAAATTCTGAAAAAAAAGCGTTACATAAATAATTTTTTCTTTTTAAATAGAGTTTTTATATATAATACAATAAATAAATAAATAAATATTATTAAATGAATATGTTTAGTTTTCAAAAGAAAATTTTTCAAATTATAAATATAATATTGTAGATTCTGCTAGAAACATGAATGTTTTGCCTTATTTTCGCATGCGCAAATTTTCGACCAATGACAAGCGTCGTTACAACCGGCATTTCTAGAAAATTCGTTAAGTGAACTTTCTAGAAATTCACGTGTGTATATTAGGGGCGAATTACTCCATTTTTGTTTTTGACATCAAGTGAATTGACCGGCTCGGTTAATTTTAGGTGTGTTACTCATTATACATATTATCTTTGTTTCATAAAATTTTTAAGACAAAGACGTTCATTTCAGGCAAGTGTTGAATTACTGAAATTAGCAAAATGTCTGTGGTTGGATTTGACGTCGGATATCAGTCTAGTTATGTAGCGATAGCGAGGCAAGGAGGTATTGAAACTGTGGCTAATGAATACAGCGACAGACGTACACCGTAAGTAATTTACGTTTCTCACTCAATAATTTTAAGAAATGGGGCATTAAACCTTAACCCAACAGTCGGATTAGCCTCCGAATTTGTAATTTTGCACGACCGATTATTGAACTTTAGAGCGTAAATCAAATAAATTTTATGCTTAAAGTACCAGTCATGTTTAATTACTAAAAAATAAATTGGGATGATATTAAATTATTTGTCCTTGATGAATTATAACATCGCAATTAAGACTGATTTAATATTTTTAACAATTAACTTTCAGATCTTTTGTTACGTTTGAAGACAAACAACGAGCTATGGGTACAAGTGCAAACAGTAAAATGTTGTCTAACATCAACAATACTGTATGGGGTTTTACTAGGTTATTGGGAAGAAAATTTAAAGATGAACAGATTGCGATAGAAAAACTCTATCACCCATACCAAATTGTTGAAAAAGAAAACGGTGATTTGGCCATAAGAGTTCAATATCTAAATGAAGAAGTTGACTTTACATCTGAACAAATAACAGCGATGTTATTAACAAAATTAAAAGAAATAGCTGAGGCAAACTTAAGAACTAAAGTCGTAGATTGCGTCATATCTGTACCTTGCTTCTTTACTGATATTGAAAGACGAGCCATGATAGATGCTTCTCGAATTGCTGGATTAAATTGTCTTAGAATTATGAATGCTACAACCGCTACAGCTTTAGCTTATGGCATATATAAAACTGATTTGCCGGAAGAAAAAGAAAAACCTAGGAACGTTGTTTTTGTCGACTTCGGTCATTCGTCTTTGCAAATTGCTGCCGTTGCATTTAACAAGGGAAAGCTAAAGGTTCTAGCAACAAGTGTTGATCCAAATTTAGGTGGTAGAAACTTCGACAAGATGCTAACAGAGCACTTTTCTGATGAATTCATGAACAAATACAAGGTGAATGCTCGCTCCAAACCGAAGGCCTACTTCAGGTATGTTCTTTTTATCACATTTCGTCAATAAAAAACTCATTACTTAGTTTTTTGGATTTAGACGCTTTTGTTAATTGTGAAAAATCTAATTTTTCTCATCTATTTTGTTTAGGTTGATGCAGGAATGTGAAAAGAAATTGAAAAAGTTAATGTCTTCAAACACCACCGAAATTCCATTAAATATTGAGTGCTTCATGAACGATACAGATGTTTCAGGAAGAATGAAGAGAGAAGACTTTGAGAAGAGGGGAGCAGAGTTATTTAAAAGAATTGAGATTTGTATGACAGGCATTTTGGCAAATTCAGGCTTACAATTAGATGAAATTGATTCCGTTGAGATTGTTGGTGGAAGTTCAAGAATCCCTGCATTTAAACAATTAGTATTGGATGTATTTGGTAAGACTCCAAGCACAACGCTTAATGCTGATGAGTCTGTTGCTAGAGGATGCGCCCTTCAATGTGCAATCCTTTCCCCAACTTTCAGAGTCAGAGATTTTAGCATTTCTGATTGTCAGCCATATTCTATAAAACTGAAATGGGCACCTTGCGAGCAAAATGAGGAAGCTGAAATGGAAGCTTTCACAAAATTTTCCGCCTATCCTCAATCTAAGATGCTTACATTCTACAAAAAGGAACCATTCGAACTAGAAGCCTTCTACAATGAAAAGGATAATGTGCCACACCCGAATAAATTTATAGGAAGATTTAAAATAGACAAAGTTTACCCAAATCCCGAGGGTGGTAACTCTAAAATCAAGTTTAAGATCAAACTCTTAGGACATGGTACATTCGACATTATGTCAGCTAGCTTGTTGGAAAAAGTAGAAGTTGTTGTTGAAGAAAAAGAAGAGAAGAAAACTGAAGAAAAGCAAGAAGCGAAAAAAGAGGAACCCATGGAAGTTGAAACTGGTACCGAGGCGCCAGCTGATAAAAAGGACGAAAAGCCAAGTGAAGAACAACAGCCACAGCCAACTCCAGATGCTGAACCCATGCAAGCTGAAACCACTACCGAACCAGAGGCAGAAAAAAAGACTAAGACGAAGGTGAAGGTGAAGAGTATAGATCTTCCCATTTTGTCAAACATCCCATCTCTGGGTGAAAGTGGTGTAAATAAGTTGATGGAAAAGGAGTTTCAAATGATAGCCAACGATAAACTTGAACAAGAAAGAGCAGCCTCGAAAAATTCTGTTGAAGAGTATGTTCAAATACTAAAAAGTAGGGTAAATCTTCACCCCTTTTTTCAATTTACAGATACGTCTACGAACTTAGAAACAAGCTTTGTACTGAGTACGAAGACTTTATTAAATCTGACGATCTGGATAACATTAACAGCTTACTCTCAAAGACAGAAGACTGGCTATACGAAGAAGGCGAAGATGAGAAAAAACAAGTTTACATAGACAAATTAGCGGAATTAAAGGTGAACTATTTTTCAGCTTATAAACTATAAATATCTTAGACAATGTGACCTTAATTCCTTTAGAAACATGGAGCCCCAGTAGCGGAAAGATATACAGAATTTTCACTACGTCCAGAAATTATCAAACAATTCGGTGGTACCCTACAACAAACACGTAAGGTCATTGAAATGTGGGAACAGAAAGACGAAAAGTACAACCATCTAACAGATGATGAGATCAAAAAAGTTCAAAAAGCTATTGATGAGAAACAAACTTGGTTGGATCAACAAATTGGACTATGCAATACCACACCAAAAAATGAAAATCCGCCAGTCACATGTGCGAAGTTCAGATCCGAAAAACAGGTAATGTTATGGTGTAGATTATTTCTTAGACAATATTATACATCATTCATATTTCTTCTACCAGGCTTTTGAAACGACTGTTTCGCCTATTCTGAATAAACCGAAACCTAAAGTTGAACCCCCAGCGGAACAAAAGGAGAAAAAAGCAGCTCCAGAAGCTGAACCACAAAAAGAGGCTGAAGAGAAACCAGCTGAGTCACAGCCAGAGATGGATGTTGATTAAACGTAATTACTTAGTTAAGTTGGAGATCTAGTGTAAAAAGGTATGATTGTGATTCTCATTAAGATCATTCTAAGATAGCATTCCATCATTATCATGTCAAAATACTTTTTTTTGCAATGAAGTCTTTGCGTATTTGTGTCTATTTAAGAGTCAGATCGCATAATGCAACAATTTTTGTGCGTTTTGTATGTGTTCTGATAATATTACTGGTTAAAATACAGGTATTTTTAATTGCATCATGAATGTATAATAGTTTTTTTTTTTTTAGGAAATTTCGATTTGTAATATTCATTATGTAAAACTTTACGAAAGCCAAAGATATCAAGCCTCTTATCTTGAAGATGTAAAAAGTTTGATTTTCTTTTTCCAATACACACTTTTAGCAAAAATTTCTGATAGCAGCAGTTTCTTGCTAGATTGTAAAATATATTTATCTGAAGAATAGTTTTCAATACACTTTATTATTCTTAATACTGGTTAATGTTTGTTCTATGATACTGTGTTTCCTACTTTCTCTTTACAGATTTAAAAATTCAAAGGGTATAAAAATAAACAAATAGAAAAGATTTAATATTTCGTAGTATGTAACAGTGGGCAATTTAACAAGTGTACACATGAATATGAGTATAATTAAAAAAAAAACATAAACAGTAAAATTTACAAAAAACAAACGTTTGATTGCCAATTAGGCATTTTATGCGTCCACCTTGCATATCTCCTAGTCCATTCCCTTGCTATTCTATCAAATTCTGTCTTGTTATCTTCATGCAAACGACTTATTTTAGGTTCCATGGATACGAAACAATACGGATCTGTAAGTAACGATTGGACAGATACTAATACCTTGCCAATCGTTAATACGAGACTCCAATTAGGCCATAGGTCAATTCCTACCTCTCCATGTCGGCTTATATTAGGATGGAATATTTTTGAAATAAATCTCACCCGAGGGGGAACAACTGGATATCTGTTTATTAAAAAAGACAAAGTAAAACAAAGAAAATTAAAAGATGTAAGAGAAGTGTCATATCAAAGACATACAATAATTTAAAGCCATAAAATTCAACATTAATATAGATTATTTATAGAAATTTTTTTACAATCCACTTATGATATACTTTTATGAAGGTTGTATTTATGTGAAACCCATTCTAGTTATACTTTTCCGTTCGTTACTTTTTTCAATTTACCGAAGTGCCAATTTACAGAGCTGCGTTTATCAATCACAAAAAAAGCATCCAGCTTCCTTATCATCTTATATACAAATGTTAAAAATATTAATATTACTACTACAAGTACTAAATTGTCATTTATGTGCTTCAATTTCATATTGATTTATTACCCTATCATCTCTTACAGAACAGGTAAGTTTTATCTCTTCTAAATATTGTACGTATTGTATTAAAATAGAATTTTGCTTACTCGAATCCAACTTTTAAATGCAGGTAAAAAACACCTCCTTCGTAAACACTACCATCAGGGCCATTGATTGTTGCTTGCCAATGACACATATTTTCGTCTAAAGGCACAGCTCTAATTCCTTCAGGGGGCTCTTCATCTAACATTTTCCTTTCAGTCATAAGACGCTTAGATCTCCACATTAATTGTTTTTTATCCGTAGATTCTTTTCGACGAACACGCATCTCTTTTAAACATAATACACAAGTTGATGATTTTAACCTGTTAAAAAAATTGTTAATTTTATTACTTATTTCCTTATTAAAAAAGAAGCCATGATTTCAATTAGCTTCTGGATTATCCAAAAAGTATTAATGCTCAAAGAATAATAGCGAAAGTAATTTGAGTTTTTTGAACTGATTTAAACATTTTTTTAAGATAGTTTACTTACAAGCAACTAAACATAATTTTCCAATCGGAAATCTTATAAGCAGCGCAAAAAATGGGCCAATAACTTCTAACGGCTGCTTGCCAATAAGTCTCTGGTGTAATTCGATCGATTACGGTTTGCCAAAGGGAGCATGTAGATCGAGCTCGAAGTAACGAGACGGCATCGCTGTTAACGAACTTAAGTATTTTTGATAGAACTGCAAATATAAAACAAAAAGATATGATTATAATATTTATAAAAGATTTATCATAAATAAATTATCATAAATAGTCAGGTTGATAAATTAGAAATAAAATTAAAGAGCATTAAATATTTTAAGAACTATAACGAACCTTCATTCGGAAGATAACTAATTAAATTATCCTTATTGGCGTTCCACTTATGATAAGTAGAATATCGAGATAAGTGATCACATCTTGCTTGTAAAGGTGTCTGAACAAAATGTAAATCTCGTTTCGCTTCCGCGTATTCGCAATCGTAAAGAACTTCGGCGGAACCATTCAAAGCGGCACTTTCTAGTTTTGCTGTATAAAAATCTTCAGCTGCTTTAGGCTCTTCATTTCCGGAATCACCAGAATCTGATTTCTACAATAAGGAAAAATTCAATTATATTTACACTATAAAAATACTCATTGAAGAAGAATTAAGCGAATATCGCACTGAATGCACTCGTATTTATATATAGGATACTTTATGATATGTATATTTAATTTAAAATTAACAGTTTCCTTTTTCTTTCAGTATGTCTATACTGTATGTAGTATAAATACATAGAGATCAATCTCTGATCGCAATACTTATTACATAATTTTTTTAACTTGTATCTCACACTACTTAGATAGGTATTATTTGAAGAAAATTCCCTAAATAATGATAATCACTTGTTAATTAGATTTCTTAGTTAACACCCAATTACTAAGGAGTTTTTTTTATTAAAAAAATGATATACTTCTCTTTGAAAATCCTCTAGAAGGTCTTCGTTATTGTATAAAAAGTAATGACAAGTACTGCAAACCGGCTGACCGTAATTGTTACCATAAAATCCGTCGCAAGTTCCGCATGTCGTCAGCTGTGTCAATATTGAGCAATATATTCGACGTTTAAAAGCTAATTGGCAGATAATTATTGTTTATGATTGAAATAGTTTGTGTTAAACTTAACAAAACAACTAAGTATATCGACAATGTTCAATAAACGAAGAATTTAGCAAATTTTTACAAATAAAAATAATAGTTTCACTGATCGATAATATAAGGTTTATACTTGATGCGAATTACAGGAGAAATCGACATAAAGCTTTAGAAAAATTTTATTACTAACCTTCAGGGTGTTATCTATGTTTGAAATGTCGCATGGCTTCATTTCTTCAGACATATTTCAAGGGTTGACATATCGACTATATAGAGTGTCTATCACTTCTCTGAATGCAAGTCTTCAAATCGGTGCTACTAGATGGTACTGAGTACTGGGACCTTCAAAGAAGTACTGGATAATTGTTTACCATTTTTGCTTTCAGTTACTTATAATTTACAAGAAACCATGAGTACTATCTTTGCTATAAGTTAAATGGAGCACTAGTCTCTAAATTTTGAAAAGTACTTGCATATTTAAGAAGATGTTATAATAATAGCATAAAGCTACAAAAGTACCGTTTACAGAATATAATCATCCATTGTTATTTAACAACAATTACAGTATTCCCTCCAAACTTCGGATTTTGATTCTGCTAATAGGAATTATTTGAATTTTTCTGGACGATATCTCAAAAAAAGTTTCATGATTTTCTAAGACAATAAAAGTTCAAATAGGTTAATTAACATAAATGAGAAAAGCTTTAACGATTGCATCCAGAGTATAGTAGGAACGATAAATCATCAATCAAAATAGTATCCACTTCGAACGCAGTGACCAAGATTCCAGTATTCTTAACGTTTGAGCGTCGAAAAATGATCGACGAAAAACGGGAGGAATTATATACACAACGCCTTAAAGAACCCCTATCATGGCTTGACTTTCTTTTTGATCATAAACTCCTTGAAGAGCATTTAAAGCAACCAAATCCTAGTCTGTGTTATATATTTATTGAACGATAATAGGTTACTTGGATTTTTTTTTCAGTACCTTCGGCATTCGATTTAATAAGGGATTTCCTATACCAAGCCGATCTTGTAACAAAAGACAGAGATGGCAGAAATAGTCCAAGTCTCCCAGGTAGGAAAATACGTGATTAAACCCTACTTCTTATAACTTTCTTTACAGGTAGAGAAAATAGAAAAGCAAAAGCGCTTAAAATATTAGCCCTTAAAACCTCAGCTTTTCTCAAATGGGACGCAGGGCTCTTAAACAAGAAGTAAGCCATTTTCCTACTTATGTTTTATTTTTAATGCTATTTATTTATTTATATAAACTCAGATTACCAGTAGCTGTCGTTTACAAAGTATTGATGGAATTACTACAAGTTGCTTCAGGCAATATTATTTCGAATCCATTTAATCAAAGAGAATTTTCAAATCAACCCCCTTATGTAAATTTTGCTGTAATTCTTTACCACGTGTGGTAAGTTACTTTACTAAATTTTTAAAAAGAAATATTAACACATTAATCTGAAATCGTATAAAGTTATCGTTATTTAGCATAAGTAGTTATTTTATTTCTTTTTTATTTTTACAGGGCGGTGAGATATATAATTAAGGAAAGCTTTATAACGAAGCCAAATCGTGCACCAAGTTTGCAATTGTAAGATTTCACGATAACTCATTAACTTACATCTTTGTAAACAAAAAAATGTGTCTTCTTTTTAGGCCTGGATTAATAGATACTACCACGGCCTTCTTGGTTTTAAGGGAGGAAGTATTCAACGCGGTTCGTGATTAGTCAAAGAAAAGAAAATTTCTTGCTTTTATAAAATACATATATTTCCCAGATTAAAGATGGCTTGGAACAATCAGTAGAGATTCTAGAATCGGCTTTAAAACATAATAGTATAGTTACTATGCCTACTGTGGAATGTTTACAAATGTTCACTGAAGACATTGGCATGGTCGCACATGATTGGACTCTTGGTGAGGAAATTGCCTGTGAAGAGATGCACTGTCAAGTTCGTTTCTTATTACCTCACAATATCCAATTAATTTAAACCTTTCAGATATCCTACGATCTAGGAAGTTTCTATTTTTTACATCAACAATGTGATAAGGCCTTTCAATGTTTTACTCAATGCACATCATTATTGAAAAAAGTAAGATCAAATATCTAGTTTTCTATTACAATCAAAAATTATAATATTTTGAAAGCTATTATATAATTCTTTTCTCTTTTCAGCTCCATAAAAAATCTTTTCTATCAATAAATGAGAAAAAATTAGCAGGCTATATGTTTGCATTGGAATATATTTGTTGTAAGCGAGTATCAGATGAGACATTTGGCTTAACAGTTCAACAATGTAAATCAAATAATTTTCATGGCTTAATTTCAAATTTGATGGAAGACAATAGAACTCATCAATTATCAATATCGGAAAGACTAAGCATTGAGCTAGACGTAAAATATTCGGAAAAAAGTCAATTAGATGCAGAAAATATATATGAAGATGTTATTGCGTGCAACATGATTCGCCTGTCGCAAGAAAAAATATTATTGCCTCATCATTACCTCGATATGATGCAAAATAACTCAACTTTTCTCTCCTCTTTCTTCAAAGTACAATTATTTCTTTTAGTCTATTAAAAAAATTATTCAGATATAGTCAATTTTTACTAACTTTGTTGTTTTCAATAGTTTATGGAAGATATTCTATCAGAGAGTACAATTAGGGGGCTAGAAGGAATAAAGAGTTTAATCAAGTAGTTATTCAATACTATTTCATTGCTTTACAGACTTTTTGAGAAAATTGACACTTAAATTTTGACTTAAAAATTTCAGATACCTGTGCCGACATGTTGAAAATAAACAAGACATTCAAGATAAATTGAAAGGTAATGCATTTGATATTTATCCAACTTTCGAATGATAATATTCTTCATGACTTATGTGTATGTGTATATATTATAAAGGAAATAAAACAGTTTTAAAACATTTTAATGAAGAAGAGAAACAATGTCTTTTTGAGAAACAAATACCTATTGATTGGAAAAAAATTGAAAACGAAAGAACCATTGGTAATATAGTTTTTTGAAGACATGAACAAGAGCTAAAGTTATCTTTTTTTACTTCTTAGATATAAGAAATAACTGCGATACAGCGAAACTGGAACAACTACTCTTAAGCAACAATGATGCTAATACTATAAAGGAATTAGTCAGCGTCCTTCTGAAGGCTATAGGAAGAAGTAAATTAATTCATCTAACAGATAAGGTTTTATTTGATGTTTATTAATTTTTATATATATTTGCTATTAAATAATCTTGTTATTTAAAATAATCCTAATTAAAATACGTAATCATTTTCTCTGAACATTCTATATTTAGAATAAAAATAGAACAAGATATTTTCTTCTCTCTATCATTACACTTTATAGTTTAAAAAAGTTTATTCTAAATCATAGTTAATATACTTTACTTCTAACAGTTTTGGTTACCTAGCAACCAACACAGAATAGTCGAAAACGTAAAAGATGGAGAAAAATTAGTTGCTCAGATTTATATGGCCAAATCTCGGATTGCGTTTCATTTGAAAGTAAGAAAATATCTAATTGTATTTCAACAATACTTCAATCATATTTGCTAATTCTCTTACTTATAGCTTTACGATTGTGCAAGAAAATTAAAGATGGACGTTGCATCAATGATATCTGCTCAATTGCACAAAAGACTAGACAGGGTTTTGAAGGGTGACATGCAACTTATAAATCTTCTGCAATACGAAGCTTTTGAGACTCTTCCTCCCAAAGGGCAAACTATTGTCGTCCTTTTAACATGGTCAAGATCTACTTTGAACAGTCTTGTTGGAATGCCACCGGATACCCGTAATAAAATTTTTAAATACGTATATATAGCAATATCATAAAACATCATATTGGACAAACAGCTGATAAACCCCCTGTTGAAGTTATAGAAGCTTGTGTTATGCTATTAATCAACAGAAGTGATTGGCAAGTTCTGTGTCAATTAAAAACTAATTCACCAGTTGTTGAAGTGAGTACTTAATCTTTTAGCTTCCTGTCTAATATTACGTCAACACACGTGCTCATAAAACATTTATTTATCATAAACTTCGAAATATATTTTTCCAGTTTGCTAGATATATTGCTGAATTCTGCAATCAACTACTAATAAACAATCCGCAAAGTAGTCGTCATGCTGCAAGGGAACTGTTTGATCAAATTATTTTAATTTTTACAAGAAGCCCTAATCCAAAGAGACCAACTGGAATGTGTGAATCTCTTGGTTTGTTAAGCCAACAAGGTTATAAGGAATTTGTAAGTCGTCTACGAGAAGAACAAGTCATTAGCATATTGGTTTCATCAATAACCAAACTATATTCACATCTAAAGGTAAGGCTAACTCTTGATATTATACCATATATTAATAGTTCACTTAGGAAAAAAGTAAAATATCCTAAACTAGATGGCGTTGTCAGTCAAAAAAAATTACTTATGAGCTTGCTGTTAATTTTTTTTAAATGTTGTCTTTTTATCAAAACGACTAATTGCGCGACGTTTTATTAAAATAGCAACGTGTACATTCCATCATGTATATAGCACGCTATTTTAATTAGTCCCATTGTAAGATATCACGTAAATCTTAATTTTAATAATAGTTCAAGTTAAATATATAAGAGATGTAATAGTAGCTCGTGTATTCTTCCCAATTATTCTTCTTTTAAATATTTTCTTTGGAAAATGTGTTAGAATTAATTGAAGTTTCACGATTTGCAAAGGAAATCAGCGAAAATTGTAAATAATGTTTATAATAGTAGGCTAAAAGTAACCTTGTCCACAAAACAGTAGCGATGGCTGTTAATTATGCTTAATTGGTTACAACATATTTCCAATTTACGCTGTCGAACCAAGCTTGTTTCTTGTCAACATACTCGTATTCACATCTACTCTGTCTTTTTTTGCAAATAGAGCAATTTACTAAGTGTTCACATATTGTTTAAATTTGGATATGGAGATATCGACATTCTAGAGGTTTAACTTAATACAATTACATTGTTCTTGGCAATACTCGCAAATCTACCAAATTCATTTATCTCTATTTTAAAGATAAAAATATTAAGAGATAAAAACGTCTGGTTTAAATTATTTGAAACGTGTTTTCCATTAGAATGAAATTACGACAGAAGTGCGAAGTGAACATGAATCGTGGTTGCCAAGTGCTTTGGGAAGGTAATTAATTATATTTCGTGTACAAATTTTTATGTAGATATACAAATAAAAGTTATATTTTTTAATGCTCTCCTTATTATCCAATATTCACAGCTCAACGAACATTTGTCACGAAGCCGTTCAAGAAGCCGTTTATGCCACATTCGAGAGAGCCTTTAAAATAGATCCAAATCATCCGGAGTGGCTTCGAACCTATGGCGATCTTTGTTTAGGTAATTGAAAAGCCGTTGCAATTTTCGTTTCTTTAGTTTAATATAACTAATTGCTTTTTTCAATTTACGATAATAGATAAAAAATATTTTTTCCTTTTATACAAAAAACGTTTCCATTTATTGCTATGAAAGTGAAAAATAATTATAGGGTAATCAGAGTAGCCTAACGCAACAAAAATATCCAATTAGTTTCTTATGTCAAACTTAAATGGACACGGGATAGTTACATACTAAGTAACTAATTGCTGACTGTTCTTTGTAGCACAAAATCATTGGACGGAAGCCTTTAGAAATTATCTCCTACTTGGTATCAGTACTTCTCGAGGATTTAATGACATACCACCTAGAAAATACTACGACGATGAGGTATATAATATTCTGCTTAAGTATTTTTACAATCTATTCCTCCAAATGAAACTCTTTTGTTGGAAAACGTTTTAGACTTATATAAAACTAGAAAATAGTACGTAAGAAAATGTAAAAGTATAATATTAGCCACTTGATATAACTGTAAAAGTCTATCTAAAATAATAAAAAGTAATCCGCAAAAATGAGAGAAAGTAAAGATTATAAAAAAAGAAGCCTTATATATTTTTCATGTTTTTCTACTGATCTGAACATTCATTACCAACCAACACTAATTATAGCTTAATTTTCAATTAAAGATAATTAGTTGAGATTGACCCAAAGTGAAACTCACTTTCTCTAAGCATTTATTGTATTTTAGGAAGGAGCGTCTTTATAACAAATTTTATTTTTTTTACAGACTTATAGGAGGATGATAAAATGCTGTACATATATGAAGTGTTTCACCCAAGTTACCATCCTTTCTCAAATGTTGGATTCAGTGGATTATTCGACGGCATTGAAAGCCATACAAGAGCGCCAGTCTTATGACGCCCAAGACGCATTATACAAGTTCATATGGGATACAACAATACTTGAGTATATTATCTATACCCATGATAAAAGATTTGAAAGTTCAAGAAAGAAACTAAGCATGAAATGTTGCGGTATATCTGAATTGAACAGCTCCAATCCACAAGAAATTTTAAGAGACGCGTCAAAGCAGAGACAAATGCAATTTTTTCAGGCAATTGTTAGACGTTACTTTTGATATACATTTTTTTTTTATTAAAACAAACACAAACAAAAATTATTCTACATAAAAAATTGACATTTTTTTTTCTTGGTTAAATAAATGTTCAAAAATATCTTGTTGTAAAGAAAAGAAGATAAAAGAAACTAGTCTAATCAATAATATCAAATGCTAGGCAAGATTGAAAAAAATTCTAACTTCAATTATGCGTAGTAATTTAGATTTAATAGTTTGGGTGAGAGCAAAGCAAGTTGGTATGCAAAATAGTATTTTTATTTCAAGGTCATCGTGTAATAGTCACGTTTGCAATTCGTTCAGGATAAAGTGAGTATCTCTATTCCTTATGTTTAGCAAAGGAGATATTTAGATATCGTCAACTAGAAATTATCATCTGAATTAAGAGTTCTATTTGTACAAACGCTTTTATAAGTTTCTTGAATATTTACGACGTTTTATTTAGTTGATATGGAAACGGAATTAAAGTTTTAAGAGAAATGCAAATTTCCCATAGGATTTCGGGAATTAAAAAGCTATAAAAAGAAACAATTGGATTTGAAGTATTAATTTCTCTATCCTATTTCGTTATAAATCGAGATTACTGCCAATAAAATCTATGTTTAATATTAACTATATCTTTAATTTTACCCACTACAATTAATAAGGTTATACTGTAATATAATATAAATAAGTTGATAATTAAGGCCGATAAAAGTAATTAAAGGAGGCGAAATAATTCTTTATTAAATACGCTTAACTAGCAATTGAGTTAATTGTTTAAATACATTGACGAATGTTATTATTTACATAGTTTTTTATGAACAGCTGCTATTTGAAAAAATGGCTGCCGCTTTGTTGGTTTTTCGCCACCTAGCGGATGATCGTGGTCACGTGACTAGTTGTTTACGCTGCTGGCGCACATAATGCTAGCCGTCCTGGTGCAAGTCGTATAAAAAATAATATTCGGTTAATTTCTTTCCAACGAATATTTCTCAATTTGGATTAAACTTATGGTTTGTTGTTTGAATTTGTCTACCGCCAAAATTCAATGTAAGAACTAGCGATTAGTTGTGGAATGTGTTTTTTTTAAAGCCTACACACATATATATATATATTCCATGATATATCGTATATATGATACGATATATAATAGATATGTTTGAATATATTTTAAGAAATATTTAGTCATATCCTTTCGATTAGCCGATTGCGTTAAGGGTACGGAGAAATGGTAGCGATCGGTAGGCGTTGTTTTTCCTTTTTACCTTTCTATTCGATGAATACTAAGGTTTCCTTTAAAACAACGTCAAGAATTATAAATTAGAATGCAATTTATTTCAATTCGTTCAATTGAACTTGCACCTCCATTGAGGCCAATTATAACGCAAGTACTACGTGTTTACTGTCCTATTCTTTGAAAAGAATAAGTTAATGCGCATGCGTACAATTTGCTATGGATATTTTGTCCCGTTTTATTATTAATCGACTGGAAATAGAAGGAGTAAAACTTTCGAAATTGAATAATATCAATATGTTAAAAATAAGTAGTAATATTTAGTAGAAACTACAAAGAATACGCTCTTATGCAAAAGTTGTTCCAAAAACTGTAAATGAAAAGTGGTGTCCTTATTTTGAGAATGGAAGTTATAGTACTAATTATAGTATTATAACACGAGATATAACTACACGTTTTAGAATATTTATCTAAGAAGAAATAACTTAATTGATGGTCTTTATACTTCGAGTACATAACACTGTTATTTATTTATTCTATGTCTCTCTTTCTCTCTCTCCATCCTCCCTCCCCCCAATCCTCTCTATATTTATATATATATTCCTCTGTTTTTCTCTGGACCTCTTTCCAAATTTGCAGGTTCGTGAACTTTCTCTTCAATTGAGACACATGCGCAGAAGTTGTAGGAAATAATTCTCATGGATTTTTTTCTGCCTATATCTCCTCAGCAGTTTTGCAGAAAATAAACAAACACACCACGGAGAATTTGTATTATTGACTGTTTTTTTCGCCTAAACTCCTTAGTTTTTTTTTTAAAAAAAAAACCTATATTAAACGTGGTCCTTGCACCAAAAACAATATTATTAGCGGTTGAGTGAATATTAATGAGAAATTTTTGCTTCTTAAATAGAAAACCTAGGGCAAATACGCTCTTTTAACGTATAAAAAGAGTTGGAAAGCAAAGTAATGTTAAAAGAGTTGATCGTAAATATAATGAATTTTATCAATCGCTTACACGACAATATTTAATTGATTTATTAACTGACACGTGACGACGCAACGTTTCAAATGATAAGATAAGGTATAAGGTTTTGTTGTACGAGTAGGGAGGCTAAGTGAAATTCTCGGTATTTTACTAATATTTCATATCACTACTTGTGCATGTGTATTAAAATACACTATGTTTATTGGACTAAAAGAACGAAATTCTACCATCTATTTATATAAAATGTGTAGAGGTAGAAAGAAAATGTACTAATTTTAAATATTGACAAAAGTCGCCAACCAGACAATAAAATTAGAAGTTGATCAAATGTCTCTTTTTAGAAATAATAGAAGAGAGCTAAAATTCATTTGTTTCATCTTATCTAACAAATTTTAATTGAGTGGGGAAATTAGAAGTCAACGATAGTAAAGGCCTAATATGGTTATTTCATACATTTTTGATATAAAGGTGAATGGAGAAATTGTCAGAGGAAAGTTTTATATGAATTATAATCAATAATGATAACTTATAGAAAGTATGATTAAAATATGATAAATTTATCGCATTTGCTTAAATATAAAAAATTCTGTTGTAAGACATCTGTGCAGTTTTCATCATAACAGTTTATATAAATAAAATATGAGTTAACATAAAGGGATTGGTCACAGTAACATTTAACAATTATGTATTTAAATATGATCGCATCTTCATACTTAATTATATAATTTTTTCGTTTAGGAGGTGTAATTCCAATGGAATATGCTTGAGGAGTAAGAGTTGGAGAGAGAAAATATTTTCTTTTTACAAGATGAAAGGCTTCCTCTTCAGCCTCTTCTTTCCAGTTTTCTTGAGCGGTGCAGCAGCAAATGACGCTCCGAAAGTGCATGCAGGTAAGAGATTTAATTACGTTCTCCATCCTATTTCACGTCCAAGCATAATTTTCGTCCTTGAGGGGTTTTCCCCAAAATGATAAATTTTTTCATTTTCCTCTCTTGTTTACTCATTAATTATTGGATCCTGTACGAATTGACGTCAATTTCTTCCGCTAGTTATAAATAACTAAATGTTTTTCGTACTTTACCGAAGAAGGCCTATATTTAGGACGCTTTCTACCCATTTGGAAATTGATGTTTTATCTCTTAAAATGCGTATTATCTTAATGCTGTCAGTGCATTGAGGTAGCTTGGTGAGTGTTTGTGTGTGTGTGTGTGCGTGAGCTTGTATAAGGTTCCAATATAAAACTTCCATGATATATCGTTTTATGTTGAAAGAAAAATAAGTATTTATCAAAGATTTGCTTTTTCTCATTTAATCGATTTGCTGAAGAAAAATCGAATAGAAATATAAAGAATTTTTTAAAATTTATATTTACAATCGTCCTAAAAATAGAGAATGAAACATCATTCTGCTATTCCAAATTGGAACAGTTTTTTATAAATATATAACATCTATTTAAGGTGTAGTAGACAAACAAGCATTTTACCTGTTATTATTTGAGATTGCAATATATGATGAAATCTTTTAATAGATAATTCTATATTTTGTAAGATTATTTGTAGTTTGTTCCTTGATAATTGTAAATATGATAAAAATGTGTTCGTTAGAATTCATCGATGTGGATGATGTTGTGCATCCGCCCTAATCTAAAACTCATCTCTTCACATTGTCACGCTGGCTCTTAGTGTTCTTTCCTTATATCTTATTCCATCGGCTTCTGTTCGACGATTAAATTTTAACAGTCTTTTAAACTAGTTTCTTATTTCATACGGCCTGTAGGAGTTTATTATACAATTGGATTATACATATAGATATAAATTTATATATAAATTATATGCATATAAATAGATATAAACTTATGATGAACGTATTTGCTATTGATAATCAGTATATTCACATATTAGACAATACAACGCAGACGCTTTATATAGAGAATGATAAATACTTTGGAACTATTATTATATTATTCCAGTATCGTCATAAATAGGAATGTGAACAAAGAGTTTTAAACGTCAATAACATAGGAATGAAGCTTACTATTTCCAACATACATAGTTAAACGACAATTTATTTAATTATTCCGGTGCTAAGTACTAGTATCCTATTTCCACTACTGATCGTGTTTAAATAAATCTTGATTAAAAGAATTTTAAACCTTAATTTTACTAGAAAATTTTTTTTATTTGTCTATTGCTCTATTCATAATAACATATTTACTCAACTAATAATATATCGACATTTATTCTCTACCTACATTCTCTTTCTTTACGCTTACTCATCCCCTTGAGTTCGTGTCTATGACTGTCTATTTCTTTTATGGCTTAATAATATATTGTTACAAAACTGGTAAAATTTCTACGCATTTATACAGCAATCTTACTACCCCTTTTTCACATACTAGAGTCCACTTTCAACGTTCTTTCCCACCCAGTCAATATATACTATACCAGGCACATGTGTACCGTGTCTAATTAGGCGAATTTCCATCTGTACTCTTTCGCTATAAGTACGATGGGAAACTCATTAATGTAGTTGTACTATTATTTTTTTCTTTTATAAAGTTATAACTAATTGTAATTGACTTTTAGTAAATATACAATCACAAAAAAAAATTACGTTCCTGTATGGCAAATTATCATGCCATCAACTATAATTCATTCAATTGATCTTCATATGGTGGAAAATTTAATAAGATACAATGAAAGGGTAAAAATATATAAAAATGCTCACTTCCTGATAGTCAATTATTCACAATCGAAATTCTCCTTCTCTCTTCTCAATAATATCAATAGAAGAATGAGATTTCCAAATTGAATTTTGGTCCAATTAGCTAGGATATATAGAATTATAAGTGATTTCTCCTGAAATTTCTTGTATTTCTGTCTTCACAAAAACTGAATAAAATGTTTGATAATTGTGAAAGAAAGATAGAGAAAATGAAGAACGTTTTTTTTATAAATATAAATTATTAGAAAGAAAATAACACTATTAAAAGTAAATTTTCGATTTCTAGAAAAAACATCTAACAGATGTATATCGATTAGAATTTATGTCACGCCTATTTTTTTCAACATAAAGCTATCAAATAGATTATTCTTTAGAGAATTCTGGAATTATTCTCTTATTTGATTCTTTTTCTTGCTATTTACCCTTTTCCCCCTTGAAACAGATTTCTTATTTAGACACCAAATTGAGAATTCTACTATCACTTAATATTTTTCCACTAGCTAAGCAATTACGTGCGTTTATCATGCTTTTTAAGTAGATGATAATGGAAAGAAATTGATCACGTGACTTAGGAATAAATAGTATTTTCTTAATAGGAAATTTGAAATCTGAAATATTATTCTCTTTATAATCTAGAAAATCTCTTAGATAACGGATACTGAATAAGACCAGTAAATTGGTACTTTTCCAGGAATAGACTTTTTTCTTTCATTTGTTTAATTCAACTTGACTATGTATTGGTATTAGTAATAAAATTACCTTGGAAATTATCTAATAGTCGGTTAATGGATAAGAAAAGGAGTTTTATTAATATAAACAGTATACAGTATATATATACATTTAAGATATTTCTCTACAGACTGTAATTTTTTCTTTCTACACCTTTTAAAACTTAATGTTTAGCAACGTGACACATTTTATACATATAAAAATATTAATTCCCTCGATACATCCAACTATAATGGAATCATTTTTAGGATTAAAAGTAATATTGTATTAACCTGAATGACTATGAGCATTAGAGACATATTTAATGGAGAGGGTCAGTCTTTTTAAATTGTATTTCTAGGAAAGGATTATATTATTAGATGATTTATACAAAACTTGTTAAGACAAGAAATAAGGAGAATATGCTATACAAAATAAAAAACGTATAGTCAATTGTTTATTGAAATTTCTTTGATCGTATATACTCTTTTTTCCCTTACAGAAGAATCCTTCCCAAATGCTACAACAGTTGAAAATAGGACAATTTTATGTGAAGAATTATCTGAAGTTTATTACTATCCATATCCTACTTTAACTTGTAAAAATATACGGTAAGGAATCTACTAAAAACACGTTAAATAAAGAAAAAAAAATAAAAAGTCATAACTCACTTGACGTCCTATGTAATAACTCATACATGTCACTTTTATTACTTTAGATTTTACTTGTAAAGTTATATAGTAAAAGGAAAAAAAAAGATTGATTGTTCAGGTGACATTTAATTACTTAGTTATCGGATATATCTACCTGTTCGAAGGATTAAAATAGCCAATTCTATCCAGCACGTAACTTCGTTTTTGCATACTGCGTCTGTATCTATATAATTATAAGCGTATTCTCATCTAATATTTATATTTAACATATTCATAAATAGAAATTGCTATATAAATATTATGTACAGTTTTGCATTAAATGACGATAAAAATAGTTGTTTATTTCCCGGACAGAGGATAGGCCTAAAAACAATGGCTAGAATTTATACTTTCTTTCCTTTTCATTTCTTTATTTGTTTGTTTATAGTTACAAATAATTCTGTTATCAAATTACCGTTTCTCTTTAGTATTTATGTTATACAATATGTGATTCGCAGATGCGAAGTTGATTGGAAAGATAGAAAACGCTACGCAGATTTATTTATACTTTCTTATGTGCATTTCGATTTAGAATCGTAGATGATTGTAAATAGTTTGAAAGCAAACACGCATACTATTCTTTATGCTTTTGTTTAAACCCGGAAGAAATAATTGATATAATCACATGTTTCCAGTCCTAATTTCTATATTAGGGTACCTTAAGTATATGAAATTGATCTGAACTACCTTGAAACAGTATATCTCAATCCTATATAGTGATATAGTACAACCAGTATATTACTTTATATTGTATGTACTTTTGTACACATACTTGAGTCTATTTGATAAATTGAATAGAAATTTTTATTTGCATTATGATAAATATGGAAATTATCTCTTTTTTCATAAACATTGTTTTTCTTTTATCCAGTGTTCGGCATCCTGAAAAGGAAGATGTTTTTTTCGTATCATTTGAAGGATCAATACCTCCTCATATATGTCATTATCGAGAGGAATTGCGAATGAGAGAGGAACTAGTAAGATTTTCAATAACAATAGCAAAATAATATGCTGTAAGACAAAAACATAACGAATTTAATCAACTGCCCAACTAGTGGCAACTTGAAACAAGCTCTAAATAATCGGATTAATGGATTTCAAGGAGCAAGTCCGATAAAATTACAAGTTACCCTGTAGAGTTAATGAGAGTAAAACTTGGAAAAATGATACCTAACCTATAAATATATAGTTAGAGCAGCATATATCGCGTTGTCTTCAATTATACTCAATAGCCTCGTTTACATCACCTTTAAATATTTTTTTTTTATTCTGTAGACCCAAAAACATCCAATGAATTCCGAAATAGTTGAATCCAAAATTTTGGATTATCGTTACAAACATTATACAGACTATGGTCTTATGTGCAAACTTATGTTAAAGGCTTATCTACAAAGAGAAGCAGTTAATATTATCGCTGCAACTGTAAGTAAATAATACCATTCTATTAATATTGTATTAATATGTTGTACACAGATTTTGTTTGCTATTTGTTTATTAAAATTAATTTATTTCATACTCTGTATACTAGATATATGTAGAGATAGTATATGAATTATAGCATATGTATATATTTATATGTGTACATGTCACAGAAATGATCCTATAGCCATACAGATAGATATCAGATCCTACATAAATATAGGAAAAGATATATAGAATAGAATTGAGCGAATTAATTACTTACTGTTATCAACAAATATCAATTCGAGCAGTCTCATGATTTTTTTCACTCTTTCTCCATCTACATTTAATTACAATCTATGCAGATAATAACGGTTCATTTTTTTTACATTCTATTTATCTAACACAAGCATTCTACTCTCTATTAATTAGGGAGGAAGAAGATATAAAACTAATATAAAGTTGTTTATTAGAAATGATATTATGCTTGTCTCATCCTTATATTTTTCCATCAGGCGCGAGAATCATCATGTTCCAGAGTTGCTAAGAGAATGCGATTAAATAATGACTATTCAAAAAATCCCCCAGAACCGAGGTGGAATATTTTAGAAGCAGACAAAGGATATTTGAAAACATTAAACTGTCACTTTAATACTGCTTCTTAACGGTCGCGTTCGATTTTGATATAAGGCTGTGATATTTTTTATCGCTTATTCTTTATTAGCTGCAGAAATGTTATTTGAAAAAAAAAGAAAAGGATAATATTGAAAATATGTTTGTTTCTTTTTCTCTCATTTTCGTTTTTTCTTGTTATCAAATAAACAAAAAAGTTAAGTAGTTTAAAAGTTACGAAAGGAAAATATTTCATTTTATATTTATTCTGTTTGTTTGTTTTGTTTACTTGTTTCTTTATTAATAAGTTTTTTTTTATTGATTATTTCTTTTGTAGAAATTTTTAACAAAAATATAAGTTTTTTTAATATAAAATTGTAAGGTTTTTAAAAGAAGACCTGTTTGTGTTCAACAAGAAAATATTAAAAAAAACATTCTCTTTTCTTTCCCTTCTGATTTTTATTATCAAGATTTTCTTGTCTACTTTCATATTGAGTTCTGATCTAATATATGGAAATAATAAATCGAAATAAAAAAAATTTATCTTCAAATAATCATTTAAATAATTAATTAATTCAATTTTTAAATTTAATTCTAATAAACAATAAAAATATTAATTAATATTTGAGCGAAAATATTAAAAACCTGCTTATTTTTACTCCGTAAAATATGATTTGTTGGTCCGAAAGAAATCATTTTGCTCTTTGCCAAAAAGATGAAATTCAACATGAAATCTTACTATTTATACGCCAAATAAGAAATGATTTTGATAATTTAATGGTAAGATCTAATAAAAAGGGAAATTCTATGAATATTAATGAGCTAAAAGTACAAATGTATAAAGCGAATGAATTAATAAAAAATTTGAATGACCTCCAATACGCTATGCTTGATTTCCATATTGAATTTCAAACAAATGTTCATTTTTTTTATTTACTAAATTCGGCTATTTTAAACTAACTTTGTACAAGAAATTTTAATGAAAAATGTACAAAGTATAGGTTAATAAGACTGCGTATACTGTGTAAAATATACAGTATATATACTGTATATAGATTAATCAGCAGCTCTTTTCAAAAACAGTAATCGAGCATAGGTCGTATAACAGTTAGGTAGTAATCAACTAATTGAACGAATACTTAAGTCTGTCGAACATTATCGAGATCTTATAACAGTACAAATACGAATAAAAGGCATAATGGATAATATTCGTCGCAGCTTAAATGTTACATAACTGGTTTTCAATTTTATCAATAAAAATAACAAAAAGGAAAAGGAAACTGTAAACTTAGTGTACACAACTTCAATATCCGACATATGTTTTTGTTTCCTTTTGTAAAATGATACTGATTATATTAAATTTTAAATAAAAAAAAAGGATTCACAAAGCAAAAATCAATTTTTCATTGTTTTCAAGAAATAGCCTCGATTTCAATGGGTTTCAAGCTTTTGTTTAATAGTTTCTTTTCTTCTAATTTCTGTTTATGAAAATATTAAAAAAATCATATATTAACAATACAGTACATCGGTTTTTATTATTGTAGCGTCTACTCTAGTCTTACCAATCGTTGAAAACTTTTTTCACGTGATACTGCAAGTATCTTCAATATGCAACGATATGAGTGCCTATTTTGTTTGAAAACGGCCAAAAAGTTATCCAAAGCAAAGCTGTTATAATTGAATTAATTAGTAAATTTATTGACTCTTTCATCTCTGAAATGTTTTACCATTTAAAAATGTTCCTCCTTAATGGGAAATTCTGAAAATAAAAAGCGTAGCATCTTAGAAATTACAAAAATATACAATAATATTAGATGTCAAGCATATTTTTTTCTTGTATTTATACCTGTTTAAGGTAAGCTTTCATTTTATCGAAAAACTCTTCAATAGCATGAAAGATTAAAGCTAATGGAAATGAAATAAAATGTTATACAGTTGCAATTTAAAGTGTAAACAATAGTCTTTGTTTTTTTACATGTGAAAAATTTAGGATTCTTAGCAACATTCTTTGATCCTTTGAAAACCTTCATCGAGCATTTCAATCTCATTGCGATGATAGTAAAAAGAAGATGAATATTTCGTACAATATGAAATTCATCATTAATCTAAAAAGAGAATTATACATAACTATTTATAGATAGATAAATCGAAAAATTAAAAGGATAATTAAATTTAATTTTCGATTTTTTAACAAATTGCTCATGACTTAAATTATTTGTATTACTCTGTTGTCAAAGAAGATTCTTCTAGACTTCACTCGAAGGAATTTTAATATTTGAGCCTTTAAATTTAAGCCTCTTTTAGAGGAATAGCATCGTGTAATAGTATCACTTATATCTAAAAATAAAAAAGAGAAACATTTAACAATTGCTAACTTATTTTGACTGATTAAATACTAAATTTACCTATTCCTGTGTAACCTTCAAGAGAAACATCAACCCCCAGCGTTACAGTGTTAAAAATATAACCACAGAAAGATATATTGTCTGTAGGGTAAAAAATAATTAGGTCTACATAATACATATCAACGAATAAGATAAAAAAAAGAGAAAATTCTAATGCTCTTTTTTTCCTAACATATAAATTGGTTACCTTGCAAAGGTAAATCTTTTATTAAGAAGCAATTCGTGACAAGTTTTTCTTTATTAATAAAGCAGTTGTATTTGGGAAAACCCTGCTTTAGGATGTTGTAAAATTTAAGAGTTCGCTCGGGAGAAGGTGAAATGAAGAGAAAATCGTCAATTTGACGCATTAGTAAGTCTTCTTCTTTCACTTCGAAGTATTCTCTTTCTAATTTTGCATAATACATATTACATAACATAGAAGACAATACGTATCCTTGGGGTATGCCCATTTCTTGCTTATAATATTTGCTTCCGATCTAAAATTTAGGACAAGCAAACGTAATTAGCAATTAACATTTCAAATAGAAATAGGTGAAGCTACTGTATTAAAAAGAGTGGAGATATATGAACATAAAGCATTACCTTGATTACATGACTTTTTAAAACATTCATAATTGTTTCAATTACTCTCCGTCTCGTGAATTCGTTTATCCAACCTCTATCATAGAATATAACATTTCTATATTTATCATAATTTTCACTTTCATTCAGAATGTTTATTGGATTTCTTTCGTAATTCTCTTCCGAAAACACTTCAGTTTTAAAGTGATTATTAAACTATTCAATTACAGAATATACATTATTTTTTCGTATATCATTTATTAAGAAACTCATTATTACTATTAAAAAAGTACTAACTCTGCCATTCGAACAACCAGTAATTACGAACAATCTAGTAAGGAGAAGATTTTCCGCTTGTGCCTTTTTCATAGAAATTGATTAATTAGTCTACCTTTAAGCTTACAACTTAATAGTTTCATGCTCACATCATTTAGTACGAATTCCGTTAGTACGTCTTGAAGCCTTATTAAATCAATGGAGTCATAAGCCTTTTTAATATCAGCTTTGATAAAATACAATTTTCTATAGTTGAACAATATATATATATATATATATATATATATATATATATATATATATATATATATAGTATATACATGAATAGATATGTATATGTATACAGTATATACATGTATATACATATTTATAAAGATATTTAGAAATTAAAACCTATTATCATTATTCAACTTTCGTTTATTAACAAATTCTAGCCATTTAGCGTATAAGTTTTGCTCTCCAAATAGACTTGAACCCAGTAAAGAAGGATTACTTTTCTAAGAAAATCATAAATTACATTTAAGATATTAATAAACAGAAAAAGTAATAAAGTTAATTAATCAAAACTTACATAAATACTTTCTAATACTTTTAAGAGAATCGCTTGATGTATTAAATACTTTTTTTTACCCTTTGGCTTTATATTATGAACATTAGTTATAGGTCTTAAATCGCTTGTTTTTGGTAGGTATCTAAATGTCGAAAGTATATATACATTTAGCCTATATTTATGTATATTTAATCAATATAATGCTATTATCAAATCAATAAAAAAATAAAATCAAACCTTAGTGTCGACATTGGTAATTTATGACTTTTGAATTGCTCGACTTCACTGTTATTCATACATCTAAAGACTTTCTTCTTAGTATAACTATTTAAGCCAATTCTTGCTATTTTGTGCCAAATAATCTTTCTATAGAAGAAAGTCCTTTGTCTATAGTCAGTTGTATCGGTCACATAGTAGAATGTTTTAATTATTTCAAAAATATATTTTTCTACTATAAATATAGCTAATTTGGCAGTAAAATTTCTTTTGCAGTCTATATTTAAATCTCCCAAGTATTTTAGATGTTTAATCTGCATCAAATAAATATATGCAAATATATATATATAATACAAAATATAAAGATAAAAAGCTTTTAACAATAAACAAAAAAAAAGCTAACAACCTTAAAATTTTCCATTAAATAGCCCAAAGAGAATTTTTCAAATATATTCATCTTAACTACATCTTTGATTGCTTTTATGATTCTATTTCGGTTTGATTTACCACCAAGCAATTCGGTTGGAATAACATCAATAACGATTTTTCTAAGTAGCAGATACAACTATATGGGGAAAAAAATAATTATAGAAAGAAAGATATTAACGTTAAAAAAGTAAACACATGTAGGGAAGAGAAATGTTAAAAAGAAAAACTATTAATTATCTTTGGAATAGTAATGAATAATTACAGAAAAGGAGAAAAAAGAGATACTTGCCTGGTCGTGATCTGTATATTTTCCAAATAGTGCTACGAGATCTTTTCTTCTACACATTGAATTATTAGTATATTTGTTAACAATCCTACTTGCCACATTTTTTTTGTGATTTATAGCAGAATTTTTTCTTTTTGAAGACGCCAATTCAGCTCTTTGACATTTTTGAAGATTTTTTATTTTAAATATCATATTATAGCGGTATTTCTTATGATTTTCAATTAATCTTCCGAGCAGATCCAATAAACCATTTAGTTTATCAGTTTCATTTAATATTTTCATAAATATATCATTAAATACTTTATCATCTTTTGAAGCTGATATATCAAGGATATATTTAAGTAATTCCTTTGGAGAGACATTTTCCTTCTTCAATTTATATAATAGAGCTATCACATGTCAAATGTAAGAAAATCTTTAAAGTTTCACTAGTTAATGTGTAGTTAATAGTCATAACTTACAAAACTTAACAAAATTTTCAGTTAGCTTTGGTTGATAAAATACAGATCTCCTATCAATTATTTGATGATGGCTAAAAGTACATTATATCTTCATTAATACATCAATATCTTGTTAAAAGAAACGATTTCTACAAATTAACGATAAATTACGATAAATTACTTGTATGCTTGCAAATTTTCTTCGATAGGTCTATTTCTGCTATGAAAGGATATTGACATTGGTCTTGTAGGTATTGTTTTTTTTTTAGTAAATCTCTTTTCTGCTAATGCGCAAAGTCTGTCCATAAACTTAGCATTTTTTATTTCCCAGTCCTCGATTTTCCTTCTCTTATTAGAAAGAACTTCGTCATTCTCAAAGCTAGAATCTGAGTTTGAATCGTCTCTGTCTAACTTTCTCTTTGTATTCTTTTGAGTGAAACAGGTAAAATAGGTAGAACTGTTACTATTATTAGAATCTTGAGTTTTTTCGACTTGTTTGTCTGAATGGTTTGATGAAAATAGGTCGTTTGAATGGTGGGAATAGATCCTTGGTTTTCTAGTCCTTTTAGGTTTTTCTTTAAGAAATCTCTCGTGTAAAGGCAAATTAATAATCATTTTAAAAACAGGTTCTCCTGTTAACATTATATAAAAATAGAAGCTATTTTAATATTATTCAATTTTATAAATTAAAAATTAAATAACCTGATAACTGGAACACACAGCCGTGACGTAAAGGTAAAAAAAGAGAACATTTTGTGAAGACGGTATCGATAAATTCTAAACCGACTCTATTTATAGAAGATGTTTTTGTTTCCACATCATAAATATTTGATTAATACTAAGATTGATAAGAATATAAGAATGCAAACGAACTTTCTAAGCAAGATTTTCCAACGTTTACTAAAGAAAAAGTTGTAAATATAGATCATGTTTGGTTGTTTATCAAAGATGTTTTCGATCTAAAATCAAATTAATTTAGTAATTAATTGATTAACTAACTAATTAGTTGTTTGATAGTGTTTTCTTTACAGTTGACAATGAGCAATATAACACTTACATTACTCGGTTGTTCAATATCTTTTAATCTTAGATCTTTGCGAAACTTCTATCAATGTTTTCATAACATGGAAATAAACAATAGCAAAATAGTAGACAAATTTAATGGCTTTGTGAAATGAATTATTTAAATACTCTAGCGAGATATCCTTTGAAATGTGTTACATCTGGTGATGGGGATAATCTAGACGAATTCATATCGATTTCATAGTTTGTGCAAACTTGAATTTCTAATAGAAAGCCTTTGAAACTTTATAGTAATATTTTAATAATAAATTTATTTCATTTTCTAAAATTTCTTAAAAATTTACTTACGCTTTATTTTTTTGCAAATTCCATAGAACGTCTATTTCTTCTCCCGTTGAATATTTTAAGTGCTCGTAGAGTGTTGTATGAATTTTATAGAAATGTTTTAAATAATCCATTTCCCCCCCTATTATCGCTCGTTGAATGATAATATTATTTAAGATAATTGGTTTCTTCCTTATATTATTCAAAATTGAAAATTGTAAAAATGTACAGTTGTAAAATTCAAATAAAAAAGTTTAGACGAAAAACAATTGGCTCTCCAAATTAGAAAAAAAACTTTAAAAACCAACAAGTCTAACCGCCTAAATATCTTCGCATAGCGCCTTCTGGTGGATATGAGGAGAAGGAGAAATATAGAACGTTATAATAAAAGGATTGTTTTGATATGACATCGACATTGTAAGCTATAAATAATGATTACACTAAAAAATTGATAAAAACATGTGTAAGAAAGAGACATCTGGAATATAGGGCATTTTTAAAAAAAAGCTCAACTGGGTCTTTATATATCGATGTCAGTAGTTCCCGTCTCCTAACACGGCGACAGCTAGTATGGCTTAATGCTTATGAATATTGCAATAATAATAAAAATATATATACATACAAGTCAATTACATACTATTAAAATCAGGCTCTATTGTAAAGTTTAAAACCAATTTGAAAACAAAGTTGAAATAACTATTGTAGAAGGCGTCAAGGTTTCAGTGGAACAAAAAGAAATTGAAAATAAAAAGTTCAATCAAAAATAAACGCTTTAAATCCAAAAATTCCAACATGAACAAAAAAACAGAATGTTTCTTAAACAATCAAACAAAATTTTCAATTTCACGAATTTTCATAAAATTCGACGAAAAATTTACAAGTTATTAATACATTTCTCTTTCGAAAATTTTTTTTCACATTTTTTATACGACTAACAAAGAGAAAACAAATAAAAAAGCACCTTTGCTGGTGGAATGCGCGAATCGCAAATGACCCTTATGTGCGATTTATACATGCATATTCAGCAGCTGCTTTAATTTTTCGGCTATGTCAACTTCATTCATCTCTAATTTATTATATTTCGATTTATCTTTCGGCGTCATCCAGTGCAAAGGTGGAGGTGGAAGTTCACTGGGCGAAGGAGGGTCATGAAACTTGGCTCCTATAGAGTAACATTAGTATTATTTTTTTAAGCAAACAAATATATTTTTCAAACATTATTGTCTAATTTCTAGTTCTAGTTAGGTTTAAAAAAGCCTATGTTTTGAATTGTGTCATGAACAGAGAACAGGATAACCTCTACGGGATTATATTGAACTAAATTTTGAACAAGATTAAATATGGAGTATTTAAAATCGATTTTTTCATGGTTAAATAATGAATAACTGTTACCTGCATAATTTGGTGACCTCGAAAGATTCGTGAATTGTTCATTAGGTCTGTGCGGAATAGTTTTGGGTGACGATGACTTGTTCTTATTGCTCCGATGTGAGGAAGATGTCTTCCTTCGGACGGTGGTAGTAACTGCCGTTTCTCCTCTCATCATTAAAATACAACTTGAGCATAAACCCCTCTGACACATTGGTAACTATAGATAATCGAAAAATGAGGGAACTGTCAAAATCTGTTCGAAACACAAAGCGAAACTTGTTTTAGTAAACAAAACCAACATGGCGGACCTCTTTATGCATACCTAATTTTAACAGTCTTCTATTCACGGGCTCCGTCCGAGAAACTTGGATTTAATCTATATTCCAAGGTTGTCTACTTTCTATTCACCAAAATGAATGATCTTCAAATATATATATGGTGAAGATGGTAGGTGTTTTAATGAATGTTCTCCAGTGTTTCCTTTAATCATGCAACAACCAATCAGCTGCTCTAGTGACGTCATTGGGCATGCTGAGAGTTCCGCCCATAAATTTGTTACACAAAAACTGTGCGCGCAACAGGGAACCATATTGTTGATATACACTACCGACCTCTGGTATAAAAACTATCGTAAATATTTATCTAAACAAATGTTCAAAACTTATGTTATGTAAGACAGATTGTTCATATAGAGAGTCCCTTACATGTAGGATTGTAAATAATCAATATAGGATAAAGCTTCGTCATCTTGCATATGAAAAATTTTAATTTGTGACCGAGCACAAGCCACAATTCTGTCCCTTAATTTATCTTCTCTAATTAAAAGGCGGGCACACTCAACAAATTCATGAGGTGTATCATACAATAGTCCACTGTCGTTATTATTATTCATTCTTAACAGATATCTGTTTGAGTCAATATTTCTGGCCAGGACAGGTGTCCCCAGAGCAAAAGCTTCTAAAATTGCACTGGCCATTCCTTCACTTTTTGAAGTGTTAACCAAAGCGAAAGATTGTTTTATAGCACTCTTCGTTTCTTCATTTGTAAAGCCTTCGACGTGTATTACATAATCTTTACACCTCAGACAGTCTTTGAACTCTTTTCGGTATTGTTCTTCGATTATTGGTCCAAGGATGACGAGTAAGCACTCAGGGTATTCGTTGCGTAACTCGTCAAAAGAATTAACGATAAAAGTCTATTTATGTGATTCCGACTTTTAATAAACAAACTTATAGAAAAAGCTATTATTATATCAGTAGTGTATATATAATAAATATTTTAAGCCTAGAAAGTTCGATAACAAGAGAAATAAGCTATTATAAAAAAGAATTCTGGCTTTTTTTTATTTATGGTTCGTATTACTATTTTAATATTTTTTGCTATATGAATAAAGAAAATAGATAACATTTTCACTTTAATAGAACTACTGTATAAAAAAAGAACAGAATCACACACCTGATCTTTTATTCTTCTTACTCCGCCAACAATTAAGAAGATTTTTGAATCTTTATTAACTTGTATACTTTTAACTTTGTTTAAGTAGGTTTTCAAGTCAAAAAACTTGTCATGTGTTGCGTCAACAGCTTGAGGTATAGTGTGTATACTACTTTCATCTAAATTTGGCCATAATTTTAGAGCTTTTCTTTTCATAAAATCGGTAAAAGCAACGCAAAATTTACTTTGGTATATAACTTCATCAACTTCAAAAGCTTTTTCTCCCTCTAATAAGTCCGTTCCACCGAATATTATACAATAAGGAAAAGTAATATTTCTTAAAAATTTACCAGATTTAAAAGCATGTAAAGCTAAAATAAATGAGATCGAATTTTTATTCAAGAATTCGATTAGATTTTCTTTTGATGAGAATGAAGATCCATCTTTAACATAGCATATGCAATTTCGTCTTCTTAAACCTTCTGAAATGCGATAAATAGTTGTACAATTGCCAGATTTCTCTTTTAGAGGAGATATGAGCAAAAGACATAGCTTATTGTTCATTATACAATGTCAAATGAAGACGTGGATATTATCATTGCTTTTAATAACGTGATAAAAAAAGGACATCGCAGTTTGGTTAGAGCCAATACGAATGCTATTCGATTGTAGTGGATTGACATCAGAAAGGTCAAACAGTGGATGCGAAAAGCCGCCTAAAAGATGGTTAACTTCCCTGATATAACACTTTTCCAATTAAGTGGGGCCTATTTGGGCGTACTTGGAGGAATATTTCACAATTGGTCGAACCGACGACCAATGTATGCCAGTAAGCTAATTATTAATATTATATTCTGAATTATCGCTCATAAAAACTTTTTTAAATTACCATTTAAGATGATTCAAATATCATAATATAGTATTATAAATATATTTCAGCTATAAGTTTTTTACCAATTGTATTATTTTGCTGAAAGAAGAAACGTTTGACCTGCTTTTTTTTTCAGTTTAATTCTTACTATTTTTCCTTTTAAAATTATAATTCAAGCTATCTTTCCTGTTAAAAGTATTCGAAGTTTTATTAATTTCTTCCAAAAATTATTTTTGGGGGATTTATAAAATTGATAGTCTGTTTTTTCATTATTTGATATTTTAATCATTTTAATATATTAATAACAAGTAAAATGTTCCACATAATTTTACTACATAGTTCTCGCTACTGAATAATAAGTACTTTTGTAATTAATAGGAGCACCTATGGTCTTTCTTGCTTCGGCAGCTGGTTTTGTTATAGCAACAAGCGCTCAGTCAATGTTGGAAAATCGTAGAATAACAAAGGAAAAGTATATTTTCGACTACATTAATACCCATCCTGAAGATTTTCCAGAGACAAGTAAGACTTATCATATATCTACGCTATATACAGTATATATATATATATATATATATATATATACACAGTTATATATACTCTATTTTTTAATTGTGATATTTGCTTAAATTGATTAAGGGGTGTTATATTTTTTACAGAACCAGAAAAATATAAAGAGGTTCTTGCTCCATGGAATCCTCAACGATAAAAATGAATGTTTAAGGAAAACTCATAGAATCAAATATTTTGATTCAAGTGTGTGAATTATCTGTGACTATATTCCCTCTATAATTGTTCGATATAAAACAAGATTCGTCCTTCAATAAAAAGGAATTAAAATGATACTTGAAATTCCATAATATTTTCTTTTCTCTCAGACGTTTACTCTGAAGGAAACTGAAGAATCACATATTACTCTTTAATACTTATACTAATAATTCAATTTACACAATTCTTGAGTACGAACTTGTTCGCTATAGAAAAAGGTCAATCATCCGCCAGACGAATTCAACTGAGAAAGTTTACGTATCTAGTATATAATTTCAATATTTTCACAACAACTTTATACGTGTCAGAAGAAGGTAGATTTAATTATAAGGCAGGCTTTATTAATGTTTGATTCGCTGTTTTCATTTATAAAAAAACTTCTAACTAAATTAATAGTTTCGTCTGCAATTTGTTGTCAGCATAATTAACTTTCTCTCTGTCATACTCCCTAATTCCTTTAATTTTTCTAACACAATTACATTCCATGTTCTAAGAGATGCAGTTTAATTTTTTCCGAAATTGTTTAGTCATTTATGATTCTACACTCAGCATCTTTAGAAAGAGAGACAAGTCGCTTCTTTTGATGAAAATTGAGTACAATTCAATGAATTCTCAAAGAAAGATAGGTTAATTAGTTAAATTTAGGTAAAAGAAAGAACAATAATAAGTATGTTACGCTTGATAACAATATATTAATGAATAATATAATTCTTTCGTTATTATAAGTAAAGTCACATGTTAAAATAAATTAACTAAATTGTTGAAAATAATTTGGATATAGTCATTCTAAATATTACTTTCTATTGAATAAGCTTATTTAAAATGCAAGAATGGAAGTGTTAACGTTTTTAGCATGAGTGATTTATCAAATTAACGCTTGAAATGTTTGAATAGAAATTTGAATGAAAATAATTACTATTTAAAAAAAAAGTATTTTATTAATTGCAAATGCTAATATAACATTTCAAATTCAATTAAATTAACTAAGGTTAATTTATTCGTGCTTTGTTACGCTTTAGCAGCTATATTACAGATTCTGAACAGAGAAAAACAATAACTGATTATAAAAGACTCTTTCTAACAGTTATATTTCTATTGTTTTATATGTAACTTTTTATTGACTTTTTTTTTATCTATGCATGACCATGTTACACTTATTCCCAAAAAAGAAAATTTTTAATGCTGGAAGTTGTCATAACTAAACGAAATAAATATTTGGGAGACCATTCAATATGTCGCATTTATAGAAAGGCTTCTCAGCTCTACTCAGTTTTTTTCTTAACATTTCATTCATAATAGGTTCGTTTGAATGAATGTAAGCTCTCATTCTAACGGTTTAGTATGGAACGTATTCAACTTCCGCCTGGCAGTCAGACATCGTTTGTGCGAAACCAGTGCCAGCCAATTGCGTCATAGCGTTCTAACAATATGGCTGCTCGTTGAAAATTGGGGTTACATCAATTTACGCAATATTAGGACAGGTATAGTAATCATATATCACCCTAATTGCTTAGGGAGCAGCAAATTTGATATCTTTAGAATTCTTACTATTTGCGTAATTATGCATCATAGATAAGGTCTAGAAGTTATTCAAATTAAAACTTACGTAATCATAGCCTATTTTATTAGTTTTGTTATCAGAAATATTTCACCATCGCTTAGTCATTGAACATTGAAAATGTTGAACGAATATTCCAATTATTAATCCTCAAAATAGGGATAGAATAAACTAAGCATTAGGCCTATTATGAGTCAAGACGCAGAGTTACCATCGGATAAAACCTCGGAAAAGCAGGTTGCAGTTTACGTAAGAATATACTTTAAATAAAAACTTTTGACACTTCAAAATTGACATTGATTAATTTTATAATCGACAGATAATGAAATTGTTGATAAGAAATATAGCATTGGAAAAGAAATTGTATTCATTAAATTCTGACGGAATATTAGAAGACATTACCCCCAATGAAGCATTAACTTATTTACCAGACTCTATAAAGCCATATCTAATTCATTATTTATTCGAAGAAAATGGCCAGGAGAAAAAGCCCAAGCCAAGGGATGAAAGAGAAATGACTGGTAATATACTTTAAGCTAATTTGTTCATGTGACCAAGATGTAAAATTAAATCTTTCTTTTCGTAAATTTATTTTTATACTACTTTTAAAATTCATTCGATTGAAATATTTGAGTTTCAACCTTAAAAGCGAAAGAACATAAGTGATGGTTTAGGAAAGAGAGAAAGAAAGAAGGTAGACAAAAAAAACCAGACTGATTGAGAGATGGAGTGGGTATAAAATAGCGAAAAGAGAGAGAGAGAGAGAGAGAATAGAATGAAATTATAGAAATGTATCTGTAGTCTTTAATAAAAAAAAGATAAAGTGTTAAGACGTAATTTTTATATTATGTAATACCTATTTATACGCTTCCGATAAGTATGTCAGTTTGTTGTTACTATTATATTTATTAAATATCGAAATATGTTTATGCTATTAAAAATTACTCCTGTAACTGAAAACAAGCAGTAAATAACCGCTGGGAAATATTTTTTTTAAAGTACCTTTTACATTTTATTTAAACTTAACCTTTCAATTGGATTATTATGTAATAATACTTTTTTTTCATGGAATTTAGATTAAAATTTAAATTTAGATCTGAGAAAGAAACCGAATAAATGATCCAATATTTCATTAACTCAAGGTCTTAGAGTTGACATTTTTTCTTAATTAACTTTCTAAATAACGTTTGCCCAACGTCTGGTGAATTCTTGTATGTAATTCTACGTGCTGATAGTTATTTTGAGTACTAATTCTGTTCACATGAGCAGGCAATTACCATTCATCTGTCAACCATTCATGTGAAATTATAAATATATTATTTCTATATTTTTCTCACAGATACTTCTTTTCTTTATTTTTTTTTTATATTCACGTCATAATCAACCAATGAAACTTGATTTCAGGTTTAGAATTAGAAGCGGCCGAATGCTTAACTACTCTATTGACTAGTAGGATAAATGATCAAAATCGCCAACAATTGCAAACAAAGATAAAAACTGAAACAAACAATACTGAAACTATTCTATCTGTACCAAAACCTTCAACTTCTTCAGTAAAATCAAGAGAAGGGACCAGTGACGGTGGAGAGGAAAACGAAAATATGCAGAGAAAATACTTAGATAGAAGAGCAAAAAACAATTTCGCCGCAAGAAAATGTCGAGAAAAGAAACGAATGGAGAATGCAAAAAGACAGCAGCAAAATTCGAATTTAGCCTATGAAAATGCAAAATTAAAAGCTGAGTTACAGGTACTTTTAATTCAAACTATATTAAGATAATAATAAGGCTAATTGTATTTTAATTATGTATTTGAATAGGTTCTAGAGGATGAGTATGAATCTTTAAAAGACTTAATACAGAAGAAGAGATTGGCTAAAGAAAGAGGTGAAGAATTTCATTTACCACCCCCAATTGCCGAACAGTATTCGGAATGGAAGAAACAAAATGAGGAAATTAATATGGGAAAATCAAAAGAAAGTATTGCTAGCTCAGATAACAGTGCTTATGACAGCTCAGACGAAGATGGCAAATTGGTTGTTGATACATCATAAAATATTGGATAATTTAATTTTGTATCCTTTCTCAAACTGCCCTCAGCCATCTCTATTATGAGTACTTTGTTTTTTTCGGAAAGCATAAAAAAGTGTGCTTATTTTTCTATTGTAAAAAGAGTGAAAATATAACTTCTTTATATGTAATTTACTACTCTTCTATACTTAATCATATATATGCCGGCAAAGGTATATAGGTATATAAGTATTGTATATTGTTAAGTGAGGTTAACATTTTATAAATAATCTTTTTCTGTCTAAAATATAATGAAAAAAGAAAAGATAAAATTGCTTCTTTTTTTTTGTCCGTAATTTGAGAGGAAAAGAGAAAACAATATCTTAAGCTATTCAACAATGAGTTGTTAATTCAGCACCGTCTCTTTCTTTAGTCCTTAGTAAAGTACCATCAAGATCGTTAGACCTTCTACGTAAAAAACAACAAGCGAATCCAAAAGACGTTAGAAGTACGCCCAGTATTGCTGAGCAACCACCCATAATCCTCCAGATTAATAACGGACTGCCAACAGCAACAAGAAGGCTGACAAGACCCAATATAGTCAACATAGCTCCGAAGGATATTTGAACAATTGGTATCCGATAGATGGCACAGCATTTCAAACGTTTAATCGAACGTCCACCTTGGCCTCCTGCACTTCTAATAGGAGAGGCTCGCCTCCTGCCAGGTTTTCCAAGGCTTGAAAAGACTATTTTGTTGCTACTCATTAAATTTAAGTAGGCTGGTCAAATACCAACGGTCTCCTTAATTAACCGTTGTATAATTATGGAAAATAAGTGTTTGTACAAGGCCAATTTACTTCTGTTATAAAATGCTTAAGGCTCTTTTAAAGGGAACTGAGAGAAGCTGAAACTCAAAAATACATGTGTTATCGATTATCGTAGAATATATACTTTTATTTAATGCATACGAAAAGAAAATGACAAATATTTTAAGCCTATTAAAGGGTCTAAGCTGAGCAGAGAGAATTATTGTCAATACCATGAAATTATTTTTGCTAACGGATACGGGATAAAACCTTCGATGGATGTAACTGATTCTTTTAGTCAATGATAGACATACCAACACATAATGATATATTTCCTTTATCGGCGTATCTCACTCCTAACTACCGGATGATAGGGTTATAATTGAAAGTTTACACGAATATTTTAGTCAATATGAGTTTTGTATAATTGGAAATATATAAATAAAAAAGCATAAAATCTCTTCCTAAAAAGAGATACGTGAGAAAGAAAGTGGAATTTAATTTTCGCTGTATTTCGATCACGATTGCGTAATAGCTATTTTCCTCAAACTCCATCCTCATATAGTTGACCGGGATAAAAGAAACAATCAATTCCTTGTTATTTGACTAAAGGTACGACAATTTATATAAATGGGCCTATTTTGGCGTACAAATTTTCTCTTAGAAAAAAAGGGCATAGACAACATACTGCTATCTTTCTAAAAAGAGGAAATAGTAAAGATCGGAAAACGGAGAAAATGATTGCGATATTTTGAAATATCTCGTCACTCGAAAAGATGCATAGCACTAATAAAAAATACGTACTTCGAATAAAAAATAACAATTCTCCTAGCCGGATTGCCAACCGCGACTAACTGAGTAAAGAGATGCTCACAAGACGGCGTGTTTTCTCTGAACGGATTAGCGTTCGTAGTTTATCCAAACTCTTTTGTCGTAAAAAGTAGAAGAAAAACAAACTTATTCCCGGGATAGTAGAGCGTCATTGTTCTTGCAGTCTATCTTACAGCATCTAAAGCGACGCCTAGTTATAGAATCTCTGCCGGAAGTGTATAGGTTATCTTTGTTATATGAAATATTTATTCAAATTGAGTGCGATTTCATTTTCAATTGTTTTCTTTTCCACAAATTGATGAATGAACAATTGATATACTTCCTTCTCCTTTATACTACACTTCTTATACGATACATAAACAAAATAAAACGTTTTCGTACAATGTCCATTTTAAATATTTACAACATTTGTTTATTTATTTATAAATGAGATTGGCTAAATTCAACTGCAATCTCCGCAGGGCCTGCAATAGGCCTGCATCGTTATTATTCATAAGCATCACTATTTGACGCATTAAAAGATTGCACGAGAATCTCTGAAGGAAGAGAAATCTATGATTACTGTTTGGAAACTTTTATCTTTTCGATTCCTATTCTTCTTTTCGGAAGCGATAAAAAAAAAATTTTCGTACAACCTTTGGCTAATGAATATTAAAGGATTTTTAAACTCTACAGTACATTTGCTTTTTCTAAATAGAATAAATCAGGTGAAAAAATTGACATTATTCCTAAATCTGTGACCCTTTTTTAAAAAACTGAAAAATCTGTCGCCTTTAAGGCTAGTAACATTTTCTAGACGCATTCCTTAAGGCAAAGCCATTTGAAGTTCTGTCGGAGCGTCCTTTATAAAGCATAGGCCGAAAGCTGAAGGCAAACGAAACGTTGCTGTAATAAGCTATTATATTTTATAGCTAATAGCTAACAGAAATGTGATAGGCCGATTGTGAACAATCTTTTATATAAGACTTTGCTTAAGCATCTCCTCAATTATTTTCTTAAATTTCCAGTAATTTTAAACGTTTTCCAAATATGTTTTCTTTTCCTTTTATTAGAGCTTAAATTGATTGAGGAAATCTATCTTCTTCCTTTTTACGCATTTTTCCCCATCATTTCATTCTAGTTTAGTATAACATTAGAAAGTTGACTAATATATTCATCAAAAGGAGATAGATAGAGTAAAAGAGAGAGAGAGAGAGAGAGAGAGAAAGAAAGAGTGGGGAATACTTAGATTTATACAATTTGTTAAAGTAAAAACTGGTAAAAGAAAAAAGCAAAGGCATGTAAGGGGAACATGGGAAAACTCTTAGGAATTAATCATCCAAATAGGTTGGCTAAATTTCTACTGTATGAGTGAATATGGAAAAAGAGTTAACAATTATTCCTTAAGAATAATTTTATTTCTTTAAATTAAAATCTCTGATCAATTGATTTCTTTAATATTTTAAATAAATATATTTCTTTACCTATTAATATTTCATCTTTTCATTTCTTTGAATTAAATAGAGAAGTATCCGCATATGTTTGGTAAAAAGTTAGACTCACGTCTAAGAAACGCGCTAAGAAATCGTAACTAGATTGCAAATTGAATAAAATATTTTATTTCGTATGTCTTCGAATGAAAGAAGTCTGAAAATGTCCGATTTGATTCTCATTCACAATGTCTTGTTATCGGATTTCACTATCAATCAGGAGAAAATTGCTAAATAGACTCAGTAGAGCCATCTACAGTAGGTGTGCGGATGAAGGCTGACGAGAACCATCTATCGGGGCGGGAGATGACACGGTGAGGGAAACACTACCTAATTTTCTTTCTTTTTACTTTGTTCTCTTACCAAACGGCAATAATTAGGAAAATAAAATATCTTGCTGTAATCCTGTGAGTAGAAAACAATCTATTGATCTCTTTTACATCTTTACTTTGGCATTAATTGTATCTGCTAATGGAACACACAAGAGCACGCATCAAAGAAGTTCTAACCTTGAGGAAATAAAACTGTTTTTTTTTTTGCCATTAGCCTAATCCAAACAATTAATTAAATTTATTTAAGGTATCGCTTGTCCTCTCCAACCAGCACAAAGCAAGATATACTAGATCATAAATTAATATACGGTCATAAAAAGTATTCTATTAGCTTAGTAAAAAGCTTATGAAGTATGTAAAATTTATATATAAAATCAATTGATACATTATGAAATTAACAGATATTGATTGTAGTAAATAAATCTCTCCACCATAAAAAAATCACAGATGACATTAGCAAAATCATTTGGTCCTCTTCTCCACTTTTTTACCTAGCAATATGAACACAATTTTATGAAACATATTAAATAAAAATGTAACGTGAAATAAACGATTATTTGTTTAACAATAGCATAGCATTTGTGTTTAAGAATATCCAGTCCATCTATGGAAGTATCCACTCCAAGCAGTATCTGCGGCAGCTTTAGATTCAGTTTCTGAACCTATAGAATATTCGTTGTTACTTAAAGACTTATATACAGAATCAGCTCTTACCCGATGCGACTTTATTTAGTAGATTTTTCTCATCTACGCTCAACTTTAACATGGTATGTAAAACAGGGACCAATTGCTGTCTTTCATCACCATTTTTAATTGTTACAAACTATTCAAAATTCAAATAAAACACAATTAATTATTGAATTATTATGTTTCATTAAAAGAAAGTAAACCTTAAAAATAATGTTCTTTAAATATTCCATATTTGAGACGGAATTTTCGCGTTCTTGATTTCTTTCTAATCGACGAATTTCTTCTTTTAAGAATCTAGTTTGCTCAGAAAGTCTGGCAGAAGTCGCTTCGCTCTCATTCAAAAGCTAAGGCAGGTATAATTTAAAATCATGTTAAATAGGAATTAGATAGAATTTAGTATATAAACAATAAACCTCGCTAAGATGTTCCACTTTCTTTTGCGATGTTGTTAATTTTGTCTTTAGTATTCCTTCATCTTCATATTCGAATATTTCTATATCAATCATATAAAGGTTATATTATTTCATGGCTTTTATTACGTACTAGGCGTATAGGTTACAAAAAGGTTAGAAACTCTATTTACTAACCACTTGGGGGCCTCGAATCGATCGGGGAGTTTAGTAGTTGTTCGAAAGACGAAAAATTTCTTTTTTCTTTTCTTTCAATTTCTTTATATTCCATTCCTTCAGCGCTTGGTCTCTCAACTTGCCTGGGATCGTTCAATATGTCTGTTATTTGCTCTTTAACGGTGATTTGAGATCCATCAGCTAATAGGTTCCTAACTTTGTGTAGTTCTGTTTGAATTTGTTTATTCTCCGAATGTGAATTATCCAATTGCTGTTGTAACATGCAAAGAGCCTTTCTATGTTCATCTTGAACACTTTTCATTTGATCTTTAAAAGTTTTCGAAAGGTTTTCATTCTGAACTGTTAATTGTTTAACTGATTCGAAATGCTCATTCTTTGACTGTTGCAGATCTTCAAATCTGTATTTAAAAGATAACAGTGAGATCATAAGGCATATGTTTAAAAATCACGACAAAGACTAAGACAACGAGGGAGAAAAATGAATTCCACTTCTAAATCAAATATTACAAATTTTTCAACATCAACTACCCTTAGTTGGGTTAATAATAATGTAATAAATATAGTAATATTTAGCCTTGGTGAATATAATTGTAGTTAATGCTTAAAATTAATTATTTCTTTTTTAAATTAGAATAATAGAACTACAGTTTTTATAGAAACTATTAAAGATACGAATAGTTTTACAACTTTTTCTAACATACAAGAAATATCTACAAATGCTATAAATCTTTCTAAATTTGAACATTTTGAAACTACAATCTCAATAGATAAAATTTTAAAAGGAGATAGTAATGATGAATATTTTACAGTATATACTCTAATATTCACGGCCGTTCCTATCACTTTAATATGCATTTTGACAATATTAGTTTGCATTAGGTGAGATATTTAAGTGTTTAATTATTTAAAATGTTATTAATCAGAGAGAAGTTTATAAATTAGAATGTGGATGGTTAATAAAAGTAAGGATATAGAATCAGAATTTAACGATACTAAAAGAAAAAAGTTAGTTAGAGAAAGATTATTACGTTTAAAAGATGGTTCTGATGTATCTGACAATTTAAACGATTATATAAGTCAATATAGTTTAAATACTGCTTTAAGAAGCATAGAATCTAAATTACAAGTTGAGAATCAAGACATAAATACGACATATTTATGTAATATTATTGATGACAATTCGGAGGAGAGGCAGGGTGTAATATTTGATTCGAATACCGATGAAATAGCCGATGTTTTAAAGATGATTGCATAAAATTTTATAAAGGAAAAAAATTACCTTTCTCTGAATTCTGTTTCTTTAGTTTTAAGATCTCGTTGTAATTTATTATTTCGCTGCATTATTCTTCTGTTTTCATCTTCGAGATGTTCACTTTCTGACTGAACAGTCATTATTTGCTCTCTGTTAATAAATAAATAATAAATTATACATTATTCTCTTCAAGGTAGCTAAATGAACAGATAATTACTTTAATTCTCTAACTTTAGCCCTCAAATTTTCAACATTTGATTCTAGATTTGATTTTTCTTCTTTTAACTCTTCCATTTTAGTCTGAAACGCTGTATCTGGTTTCGATTGCCTAGTTAACACACTTTTTACCTTGACTTTGTAACTTTCATATTCTGATTGAACAGTTTCAAGCTCATTCTTACTTAATTCCAAATCTTCATTCAAATGTCTCATTCGGGATTCCAATGATTTGATTGTCTTTTGTAACTGTTCGTTAGACTTTTCAAGTCTATCTTCTATTTTTTGTTTGGCAGACAATGAGTTTGATAAATCCAATTTACTCTTTTCGTTTTGGCTCACTAATCTTTCAACGTCTATTTGGAGTTCAGCCTCTCTTTTTTTCAAGTTCATTTCCGACTGTCTAGAATCAGTTAACTCTTTTTTGATTTTTTTTAGTAACTGCTTCAATTTTAACATTCTGTCCTCTGCTGATTTTGTCTGACTTTCAGAGCTCTCTATTTCCTTTTTTAGTGACTCTACCAAAGATTCTCGCCTTTCAACTTCCGCTTGTAAATTTTCATTCTCTTTTACCTTCTCTTCGATAGATTTGTTTAGTGTTTCAATAGTTCTTTCATAATCAGCGAATTCCAAATCTAGCATAGAATTCTTGCTGGCTACTTTCTTTAACGAAACGATTTCATTGGCATAATCTTCTCGAGTTTTTTGTAATTCATTCTTTTCTTTTTCCATGCTGGATAATTGACCTTTAAGGGTAATAACTTCATTATTAACTTTCTCTTTCTCTCTCTCCGAATTTTCTAGTTTAAATTTCATTTCATCATTGTCATTTTTCATTTTGGATATATTACTTTTTAGTTCTTTTGCTTCGTTGCAACCCTTTTCCAAATTAGAAATAACATCTTTTAAAGAATTAATTTCACTATCAGCTTTCTCTCTATCAGCTGTTGAAGAAGATAGGGAATTTATTATATCTTTATTTTCGTTCTTCAATTTTAGATTAAGATCTTTCAAATCTTCAATTTCATTGTTTAGTTCTTTGCCGATAATCTCTAGAGATTCTTTTTCTTTTTTCAGTTGAGAAAAGGTCTGGTTTAATGATTCTAATTGGCTAACAGCGTTTTCTTTGTCATTTTCTAAACTTTCTACTTTGATTTTTATTTCGTTACACTCTTTTTTGGATTTTAAAGCAATTTGTTTAAATTTAAAACATTTGTCAACATTTTCCTTTCCTTCCGCCTTTGATTTTGACAATTTTTCCGAAATACTTTCGTTTTCTATCCTTAAGCTATCTACATCTGCTCGTAGTTTTTCTAAAGAAGCTCTTAAATCGGAATTTTCATTAATTAAAGAAATAATTTCTTGTGAAGCCAACTCTTTCTTACTTCCTAATAAATTCTCCAATTGGTCTATTTGTTCCTTTAACAAATCATTGTTTTTATTCGAAGCTATTAGATCTTGATTGGCTTCTTTAAGATCTTGATTTAGCTTTTCTATAGATTTTTCATATTCTTTTTCAGTAAAAAACGATATTTCTTCTTTTAACAATTCGTTGTTCTTTAAAGCTGCAGTTAATTGTACGTTTGTATTGTTTAATTTATTATACAATTCTTCGTTGTTTTTTTCATATTCTTTAGCTTTAAATTGGTTTATTTGCTCTTCTAAACTTTTGTTTAATTGTTCCAAATTGTCTATTTTGGCGAGATATTCTTTAATATTAGCTGTTTTCTCTTCTTGTGATTCTCTTTGACGATTGAGATCCTCTTTCAAGTGATGATTAGCTTGACTTTCTTCAGTAAATTTCTCTTCAATTTCTTTCAATTGAGCGGCTAAATCTGAAATTGTTTTGTCATAATTTTTATTTTCTAAATCAGTTATTTGAGCAACCAGTTTTTCGTTATTATTGGAGGATTTAACGAGCATTTCTTCGCTTATTTTTAATTTACACTTTAATTCCTCTGTTTCTTGAGAAAGTGCTTTTAAAGCATTTTGGAGGGACTCCTTCTCGACCATCCTAACATTTAGTTCAGACAATTTCTCATTAAGAATTGCTACTTCACTTTGCCTGTCTTTTAATGATATATCTAATTCATTTATCACAGTTGTCATGTTTTCCAGACACTCTCTTTGCTGAGAGTTGGAATTTTTTAAAGATTCGAGCTGTTCTATTGTACAAGTTTCTTTCTGCTTGCTTTCCTCTATTTTACTTTCTAAGTTTTCTATTAATTTTTCACACTCATCTATGGTTGTTTTATATTTTATAATTTCTAGTTCTTTTTCCTGTAATAGTATATCAACATTTTCCCTATTATCTTCTGAGGATTCTTCTTTTCCTAAAATAAACTCTAACTCAGTTTGAGCACCACATTCAATTAGTTGCTTTTTCAAATGAGATATCATAGCATCCTCAGCTTCTATTAAGTTTGTATCTTTTTTTGCTTTCAAGTTATCATAGTCCTCCTTAATTTTTTTGCAATCATGATCCTTTACTTGTAAAGATTCATGAAGAGATATAATTTCCTTCTTCAGTGATTCAATCTCTTCTTGGAAATTTATCGATTTTGAATCACCTGTGGATATATCTGTGGAATTTTTCAGCGATGTATACTCAGCCAATACATCTTCGTATTGAGCTTTAATGTTTTGTAATAATTCGTCCTTAGCTGCTATTTGTGACACACACTCTTCTTTGGTTGATTGTAAATTCTGTATTTGATTTTTAGTTTGCTCCAACTCTTGAATCGTACGTTCATGCGCCAATTTAGTACTTTCAAATTCATTGCCAGTACTTTCCTTGAAAGATTCGTACTGGTCTTTAACTTTCTTCAGCTCTACTGTTAACATTTCCTTCTGTTTATTATTCTCATCTTGCAACTTTTCAACTTCAACTTTCAAGTCCAAACTCTCAGTTTTAATTTGACTCAGAGCTTCATTAAGAGCATTCAGTTCGGCACTTAGATCGATTTTCTCTTCATCAGACTCATATATTGATTTAATCTTCATTTGTTCTGTCTGTTCTGGGAAAGATTTTAATTGAATGTTTTCTTCTTCTAGACGTTTCATTTCCGTTTGAAGAATAATCAGCGTTTGTTTTAAATCAGTCAATTCTGTCGCTTTATCCTCTAAAGCTGACTTTAATTCTCGACTAATAGAATTTATCTTAGTTAATTGACCAGTCAATTCCATATTCAGTTGGCAAGAATTTCTATCTGTATTTTCCGAGTATTGGCTTTTCATTATGTTATATTTTTCAATTAATTCGCTAATTCTAGATTGATGAGAATCATTTAAGTTTCTCAATTCATCGTGGAGATGTTTGTTTTGTTGAATAAGAGAATATTGTTGATTTTTGACAACTTTAACAATTTCTTTCATTTCATCATTTTGTCTTTCAGAATTCTGAAGTTCGTCTTTAATTTTAACGTAAGCGATTTCTCTCTTTTCCAATTCTTTACTTAACTAAAAGTTTTTCATAAAAAATAAAAGAGTGAATAAATATAGAAATTAATTATTTAATGAGCAAATGTGCTACACGTATAACAAACCTGTCCAACTTTATTCTGAAACTTATCAAGTTCATTTTTTAAAGTTCCCACTTGGCATTGTAAATCAATGGTACTATCCGATTCATGTTGTTCTCTTAACTTGAGAAGATTTTCTCTTAAATTATCCCTTTCTTGGAGCGCTTCCTGTATGATAATAATTGTTTATTAAAAGGCTTTTTATGTATATTCTAATGTAAATAGATTTAACTAGTATTTATATTAACTATTACTACTGACTAGAAATCAGTTGCAAAAAGTCGCTTAAAGATAAATATTCAAAAGTGGAAGAAAAAAAGCTGTAAAAACTATGTCGCAAAATGCAAAACGTGCTTTATATAATAGTAAAAATTATTAAAATTAAACGAATAGGGAGAGATAAATGCGTAAAAATACATTTTTAGTAAAAAATATTAAAGCAGAGTATATAATAGCTTTTCAATAAGCTACGAATTCTGACTAAACTTCTTTGGGAGTAGGTACTCCTATGGTTGATAACAAAATCAATTACAGATAACTTTTCTTCAATTTGTCTTTCATGAAACATAGAAAGCAAACTATTTTTGTTCACATATATAAATATATATATATATATTAATATGTCTATATATTGAATATATAAATATATTTTTGTATATATTAATAATAATAACAATGGATATAAAAAACATGGCATAAAAGGAGAGGATAAAAGCAAACAGTAAAAGGGAAAAGAAAGCGTTTAATAATGTCAAACTATTTGTTATCAACCGTGTACAATATGTCACTTCAAATACATTCTAAGCGAATAAAATATAAAAAAAAGCCGTAAATGTGTAAAACCTTCAAAACTATTGTGCATTTATGTCCTACAAGTGATATTTTCTGAAAAACAAAGCAATTTCTCCTAGAAATATTATTATATCAAAAATAAATGCAATTATTTTTACAAAAAATTGCGAAAGTAAAAATATATAAAAAAAATATCCTTTAATTAAGATAATAATCTTATTATATATATATATACAGGATATACATATACATATATATGCATGTGTAATAAAAAGAAAATAAAATAGAAATATACATCACAATGATAAATAATAGAATATTATTCAGATTTATATACCTGTAAAGCGCTATTTAGATCATCTAATTGATGAAAGCTCTCGTCTTCTTTTCTCTCCAAATCCAGCAGTTCTTCATACGCTCTGTCCTAAGAAATAGAAAAGATAGACAATAACAATATTTATTATTTTAAACTGAATAATAATTAATTGATTAACTTAATTAGTTAATTAATATTTCATATATTCAACTGCTTAACTTCATTTACCTTATCAAATCTTTCTAGTTCCAAAAGCTTTTCCCATTCATATAATTGATTTCGAACTCTTTGTAATTCTTTTGCTAGTAGAATTTTATCTTGCTTAATTTTTTCTAATTCAGGCTGTGACTCCTGAAAGGAGAATATTAATGAAGAAATTCTATTATCCTTCATACAATGATTATATATTTATGAAAAGAATATTAAACAAATACAAATTCAATATAATACTTACAGGAGAATTAGATTCTGCTAGTTTACTTTTAAATTCTTCTCTCTCTGATTCAATTATCTTTATAAATAAACGAAATAAATTAAACAAAAATAACACGAATTATTAACCATGTTTCTTTTTTTAGAATTCTTTAAGTATAACAATACCTTTATTTGCTTTTGAAGTTGCAGAATCTCATTTAAGTGTTTCTCATCATTTTCTCTCGCCTGAATTATTTCGTTTGATTAATATAAAAAAAATGTCCGTTATTTAATGCAATCAACTGAAATTATCACCTCGTTTTCACGTATTTTTAAGCTTTCCATAAAAGAATTTTTTTCTTTCGTTAGGCTTTCAATGGTTTTTCTATTTTCTTCACATTCCGCTTCAAAATTTTCGATAATATCAGTATTTTTATCAATATTTTGTAAATTCAGATTTAGCCTATTATTTTCTTGCTTCAGTTCTTCCATTTCGGATTTCAGTGAATCTTTAACCATCTTACACGCCGATATAGCATCATCACGTGCCGATTTAAGAACATCGTTTTCGGCTTCGGCGTTCTATATTGTTTTTAATTTTAAAGCTTAGTGATAGACATGTTATTATTTTAAAACATTTATTAGATACCTTAAATTTGAGTTTCAGTTCGTTAATCTCTTTATTTAAACATTCGAAAGTCGATTTCATTCCTTCTTCTTTCATTTTCGTACATTCAATCATTTCATTTAATCTCTTTATTCAAATAAAATAATAAATTTTATTATTGAAGTATTTACAACTTTCCATTAAAAACTATACCGAATTTTCAGCTTTATAAGTCTGCAAATTACTATTCAAATCATGACACTTTTCACAATCTTTTCCCGAATTTGAAAGTTCAGTAACTTTACCATTTAGGTCTGTAGATGTATTATGTTCTTTTTTAGACTGATATGAATACTTATGCTCATATATATACAGTATATATATATATATATATATATGTACTGTAAAGGTATACTCTGAACAAATCTCAATATGAGTAGTGTAAGATTATAAAAAACATTAAAAAAACGATAAATTAAACCTATTCGAAAAAAAGCATAAACACATTTCTAATGTACTCCTCACCTAAGAATAGAACGACTGAATAAATTTTAGAAGAAATCATTCAAGTATTATAATTATTTTTTTTTATGAATGACTAATTCTATTACATGAATACACAGTAATACACGTATTTATACGTGTACCTATAAAAGTATACTTTCAAAGAAAATTGAACATTAATCTAAGTCTAAGCATTAGATTAAAGTATAGTTGGTTAAACTAATCAATAATTTTATAAAATATGAAATATGGGTACGACTATCCGCTGAAATTGATGGCTTAAGCTATAAAAGCTACAGGTTTTAAACTATTGATTATAGCAAAGTGTAATAAATTTATGTTAATATTCCAAAAATTAAAATTTTGAGAGAATTGTGTGCGAATTATTGTTGGTGTTATAAGTTTTATGTTTGCTATTTTAGCTGCCTTTAACTATAATGCCATATCCTTGCTTTAGTAATGATTGAAATAATTTGATAAATAGGGTTGTTAGACTTAGATCCTTTTACTTACCTGTAATTTGTTGCTTCAGCTTTTGACTCTGAAGTAACTGCTTTTTTACTAGAATAATCAGTTCCTCTTTAGATTTAGAGTCAAGCTAAAATATATGATTGTTATTAGATATTGATAGTATTTGTATTTAAGTATATTCTTACTTTATTTGCTGGTTTTGTTGATGGACTGGCAGATACGTCTGAACTTTCGGCCATATTTGCTATATAGTGTTAAAACCTTTCTGTTTAGAAGCAGAAAACTGATTTACAACAATTTGTTTATCACATAACGCAATTTCTGACACGAAATTCAGTAATCCCTTCGAATTTAATATAGTGACACAAAACATTCAATTTAGTTTGGTTCACGAGGTTTTGCTATTATATCGACAAATTAATTGGGATTGAATACCAGTCCTGTTTATATAGCAGACAACCCTTAAAAATGGCGGTTCTCAATTAGATTGAAAACATCGGGGAAGCGATGCTTGATGGCTTATTTTTCGAATACTCAGTACCGAGAAAATGATGAATATAGCTATGGAGAAATTGATAAGCGAGAAGATTTTTGTCTTGCCAAGCCAGAAATCGTCAGGTAACTGCGATTCGCCATAAACTGCGATAGAAAGTAGAATATTTCAACTGGATAAAAACGATAGTTTATTTATTATTACATAAATCGCCATTTTGATTAATAGAGTTAATAGAAACATAGTACTGCATCTCAAGTTATAAATATGTCACCATAGTAACAATGCTCATAAATTGACTGATTTAGAGAGACATGACTGCTAGGTGGCGTTGGCTAAATATTTATAGCATCTGTAGGCATCTGCTGCAACATCTGTTTTTTATGCAGAGGTCCCAGGCGTATACAGTTAACGAAGGGATCGAGCGGATTCGGCTTTAACATAATTGGAGGAGAAAATGGATCGGGTATTTTCGTCAGTTTCATATTAGCTGGTGGACCTGCTGACTTATCAGGTGAGCTTAGGACAGGGGATCAGTTACTGTCTGCCAACGGACAAGACTTACGGCATGCTACTCATTTCGAAGCTGTTCAGGTTTGTGTTTAGACCTCAATAGATATATAAAGAGTATACGTGTAAATATATAGATGCAATGTACGTTATATTTGTACAAATATTTGATGCAATATTTAAGAGTTTTTCCTTATTTTCTTTAAAAAGTGAATTTAAAAAATATATTAGCATGAAAATATTGCATAATCTATTTTGTCAATTAACATAATAGTCGAAATTATTGCCTGTGAAAATAGTATATTATCTCTAGAGCTTTATGACAAAATTGCTTGCTGTATGTAGGTTAGTTTTCATCAGAATTTTATGACAAATAGCCGTAATGGAAATTTTTTAGCCAAGAAGAATATTACTGGAAGGTAACTTAAACATATTAATTAAAATTAAAAGAGGATCGCCAGAGGGTAATATATTGCTCTTTGTAAAATACAAAGTAACATAAAGATAATTACTAAAACATTCATTTCGCAGTAGTCAAGCGCTAGAACGCACAGTTTTTTTCTTCATGATACATTGATCTAAAACCAAATAGTGTGACAAATAGCGCCCTCTGAACTTAAATGGTCCAAGACTTTGTTACATCCCGTCGTTTCCCTTCAATCAATTAATTGCCTAATTTAGAGTGAGTTATTTATTAGAAACGCCCCTTGAATATTCAAATTGATTGGGATAATTTGCATATATAAAAGTCGTGACTAGAATTAGGTCGATTTTTAAACATTAAGAAGTTAAATGTTATTGATCGGAACCAGATGTTATTTTTGTGAATATAAAATATTGTTTTTTACATTTTTCAATACTAAACAGTAAATTTAGACGTTCTTTTATTGTTTAACAGGTTTTAAAACGCAACCAAGAAAGTATTGAATTTGTTGTTGAATATCGTCCTGACGATTATAACAGAGCAGAATCACGATTACACGATTTACGGGAGCAGATGCTTACGACAAGCCAGCTTAGAACGACGCATAAAAGAACATTGTACGTTCGAACCTTATTCGATTACAATCCATCAACAGACAGCGGTCTGCCATCCCGGGGTCTGGCCTTTAAACATGGTTTCATACTACACGTTACTAATGCATCAGATGACGAATGGTGGCAGGCAAAAGTCCTGCTACCCGTCCCAGAGGAAGATATATTTGGTATCATTCCTTCGAAAAGAAGGGTTGAGAGAAAGGAGAAAGCTAGATTAAAAAATGTAAAATTTTCCCAAACGCGTGATTTGAATTCGGGCGACAAGAGGAAAAAAAATTTTGCCTTTTCGAGAAGGTTTCCATTTATGAAAAGCAAAGAACACTCGGGTTCGGAGGAAGTTAGTGATGAAGAAGAATGTATAAGATCTTACGAGCCAGTCAGCCTGCAGCAAATTAACTATTTTCGACCTGTAATTTTATTGGGATCTCTCAAGGACCGTTTTAACGACGACCTAATTTCTGAATTTCCCGATAGCGTAATTATGCTTTTTATAAATTAAATTAATTCTTTAAATATAATAAATTACTCTACTTTCAACTCTTTCTAATCTTGTAAATAATGCAATTTACATTCAGTTTGTTTTCTCCTCTATAGTTTTCGTCTTGCGTTCCGCATACAACAAGACAAAAGCGGGAATACGAAGTAGATGGTCGGGATTATCATTTTGTAGAATCTCGAAAAAAGATGGAAAAGGATATTGAAGATCATTTATTTATCGAAGCTGGACAATATAATGATAATCTCTACGGAACTAGTATTGAAGCTGTTCGACAAGTTGCTGAAAGTGGAAAACATTGCATTTTAGATGTAAGTGCAAACGCCATCAAGAGATTACAATCTGCTCAAATCCATCCTATTTCTATACTCGTAAAACCGTTAAATATTGAACAAGTTACAGAATGGCATGTGAGTTTAGGTACTGACAATGCTGAAAAAATATTCGAAAGAGCCATTAAACTAGAATTAGAATTTGCTGAGTATCTGACTGGTAAGTATCTTTGTAAACGCCCAACTTTTTTTTCTCTTTTTTTTCTATCTGACAAAATCCTTTTGCTCTATTTATTATCTATAAACAGTGTTAAATATATAAAATTACTTAAAAACACAGCTATCATCAGTGGAAAAACTGTGGAAGAAATATATTCATTAGTCAAAAAATTAATCCAAGATCAATCCGGTCCAGTCGTTTGGCTTCCATCCAAGGAAAAACTCTGAATGAAGGATGATTAATACTAAAAAGTGTGTGTACATATTATATAATCCATATATATATATATATATATATATGCATGAAATGCTGTAGAAATTCACTGTTTGATTATGTTTTCTTTTTATAGTACCTTTTCTTGTCATTATTTATATAGAAATGGGAAATAGTCATTTCTCAACTGAATTATTTATTTTGTGGTATTATTTCATTCATCAGAAAACGTTCTCCAAAGCAAATTTTTATCATATAAACTGAAACATTAGCATCATCCCGTAAAGGTTAATTCTAATTATATATATAAATTCTATTAATTCAGCAATTCTGCCATCTACCGCCTATTTAATTCATAGAATTTTATACAACCCTTAAGATGTTTTGCCCAACGGATTGCTTTAGAAAGTCGAGTGGTTTTTTTTGAGTGCAAAATCCGTAAGATGGAGACATAGTCTTTTTGTGTTTTATCAGTGAACGACTTTTCAATAAAACACTAACAATGTTTGTTAGAATTGAACAGATAAAATATATAAAAAAGAAAATATACATGAAATATTAACAAAAATAAAAGATAATAACAAAAAAAAGCTATTTTCAGCATTGCCCTTCCTTTCTTTCCTTTGTTTTATTTTCTTTTTGTTTTATTTTTCAAGTAGTCTTGTCCTTTGTTGTTTATTTTATACATTACTATTATAGTTTGTTAATAAATTCGTTAAATATTTCCAATGTCTTATACTATTCTAAATAGAACAACACTTAGTCTAAGTTGAAGAAAAGGGAATGAGCGGGGAGAAGGTGAAGGAGGAATAAAATCTTCTTGGTAAAAAAAGATAATTGACAAGGTGTATAATTATTGAACAATACAAGGATATTGAAGTTACTATTTTCGCCTTACGTGTTCTAGTATATCACCGTATAAATATTAATTTAAATAATCTGTCATGCGTATAGACCACCGAAAGCAGGTGCAAATTTTTGTTTAGAATACACGGTATAATTCTATAATACGACATGACATATACGTATATATTGTCGTGTATATATTATGGTTGATTATTGGGGAAATAACAACTTTTGTTAGTTTAACACCAAGTTAATTCTAGCCTGTCCGTTCGGTTTTAGTATAGAATTCAACCAACCCAGCGCCGTGTGTATTATTATGTAAATGAATGTACGAGGCGTTGATTGATAAATCGAGCAATATTTTCCAGTTTTACGAATTTTTTAAAAGGAGAAGAAAATTTAATTATAAAAATGATGTCAGCAAAAGTATATAAATAACGTGTTGAAATGATTTATTAGATAAAAATCATATAAACATGAATTATATTAATATTTATATTTATCATATCATATCAAATATACTGTATTAATAGCTGGGAAAAAAACATGGATACCTATTTCTTTTCTCTACTTTTCCTTTCTATTTCCTCTTTTTACACCATCTTTTCCCTTTTCAAAATAAAGTGTTTCAACGAACAAACGAAAATGTTACTTTAAACTATAATTACTAAGAGACGCAGATTTTCACAGCATCTCTCGCTATTTTTCTCGATAGAACAATACTATCATTAGGTAAGAAAAAAAAACGGTCAATGTTAAGGCTATTCCTAATTACATATAATAAATAGTTCGTTAACAGTTCACAGCGTAGGCAATTAATCATGCTGTTCTTTAACAGCTTTAATAATTCTCCCTTTTTTCTACTCTTACCCACCATCCTTCTCTTTCTTCGTTTACAGAAGATCTTTTGATTCAATGAATTTCTCTTGTAATTTATAATAATTAAATCCGTTCGGAAAAAAAATAGAATTGAAAGTTGTAAAGGAACAGAATCGTCCCTGTTTAATGTTAATGCTGAATAGATAATGAAATCTGTCGCGGTGTCTTTGAACTCGTACGTTTGTCTATAATTAGATGCTAGCGAAACGCCGGTTCCGTTCACTTCTCACTATTTCAACACTTGCCTTTTATAAACAGAACCTTACTAAAATTCCATAGTTAATTGATGCTCTTTCGCTAAAAAAAAAGGAGGTGGGAAAATAGTAAAGTACTAATGGATAAGAGAAAAAAAAGGCTAAGGAGTACCATTGATAAAAGTAACATAAATGGAGAGAAGTAGAGAGACAGGGCTTTATATTAAAGAGGATAAAAAGTTATTTTTAAAAGATTCTATAGGTTTAATATGTCACCAAGCTTGCTCTTTTATATAATTTATAAGGATCAAAATGAGTTTAAAATCATCAATTTCTGGATTATAATTTTTTGTATAGACTTTATATATTACCTTTAATTAAGTTAGATTTTTGTACGTAACGTATAAGAGTTTAATTAAGGATTTAAAATAAAAACAGTATGAAAGGAAGTGAAAAGTGATGAATTCAAGAGAATTTATAAGCGGGAGGTATGATTCTATTTTTAAATTTATCACCTTTCCTTATTTCGGTTTTAACTCTCAAAAAAACCGTTCGTTTTACACGTCGTAGTTGAATGACGAGTTTAATGAACATAAAGTATATAATAAATGACTAATTGCATTTAGGAAGTGAGGAATAGTGGGGAGGGATCCCATTGCAAAGAACCAATACATTATTGGAGTAGAATAAGGAGGGAGAGTGATTTGTAAGTGGCGCCCTCTTCCATTTACTTGAGTGGCAAGTAAGAACGGCCTACCATTCTAATTGTACCCCTCATCTGGAAACTATCTATGCAAACTTTTTTCTTTAGAAGAAGAAGAAGAAAACCAGATTTTTTAAGGACAGAATCTCTTTATATTATACAAGTAAGGCAAAAAGTTCGCAGGTAATAAAACGTGAGTTATACGTGTAATAATTATTTAAAAATACTCTTTGCATTATATATCCGCCTTCTATCTTCTTTTATATAGAATATATTACGTAAAGTTCGACTTAAGTAAATAATGGAGTAGAATGGATATTGACTAACACGTTATAACTGACTGAGTCTGAAACTGATCCGATAACAAAGGAGACCGAAAGAAATCTACTATTGTATTTTAACCTTAGAGGGAAGCCTTGATATTGTACTATTATATAATACGTCGGGTTGAAGAAGAAACGTTTGCCGAATATAAACAAAAGAAGAAGTATTAGATTTCATTGTGTAATAGATCCATTTTACTTAAAATCCCTCGTTTTCCGACTTTTTACCTTTTAATTTCCGATATGCTTATATTGTATTTACAGCTGCTCAAATTTGAAGAGAAAATTTGCTGTTTTGTAAACAAATATGAAATGGATGATGGCGAGGCAGTTTGGTAAACACACTTGAATAATGCAATATTATGATAATATATTTTAAACTTTAGCATCCTTTAACAAAGACTTCAAAGTGAACGCTTAGCAAGTCATAAGTGGATTATATAATATTCAAACAATAAGAATTAGATATATATCCCAAAAGTAAAGATTAAATTAACCGAAAGCTTCTTTCTTCGTCTCGTTCCTTTCCTACCCTTCGGTAACTTGTCACGTCTAGCGAATAGAAAAACCTTTTTTGAGTACCGTTTTACGGTTGGATAAAGATATTTGAAAATATCTTAAGCAAAACGAAAGGAAACGAAAGGAAAGTAGGAAAAGTAAAAAATTCTATTTCTATAGAAAAATGAATGTTTAATGAATAAATTAACGCTATTTACAGGAAATAAAAAAGTCAACTTTATCGCTTTCTATATTTATAATACATCCCATACAAAATATGGAAAGTTTTAGAGCTATATAAATTGATATAGTTCACTTGAACAATCAACTTGTCAATAGGGAAATGTGACCTTTGCTATTATAACAATTGTTATGCTAAGAATTATTTTACCCTGTACATTAATGAACACATATAATAAACGTCATATTGTGGGAATTCTAAAGAACGAAATATGTTTGAATAGCAGTATGCAGGTATAACAATGTCAACAAGCAGTAAATATACGGCATATTAGCAAAAATTGCACGCACACATATATATTTAAATAAGTCATTTAATAAGTTTTTTTTCAAATAAAATGACCTTTATTACTTTTTCAAGAGTTTGAATAGTAGCACTTGAGGAACCGTCATTAATGGAAGAGGAGATTTCTCATAGGTGGAACAGTTTATATTCAACCGTCAATTACCTTACATAATAGAGTAAGAGGGGTTTGTCTAAGCGAAAGATGTTGTGTCCATTGGCACATTTCCAGTTGATTTATTAAACGTTCAAGAGAATTGAATAGCGTTCAAAAAGTTATTAAAATAGTTCATTTTCACTTCTTTTACCGTTTTTTGAAAGAATTTCCCTATCAGAAGCTTTATACAAAATGCTACCGGCTCTAACATTTTAAGCTATTTATTTACAATAAACGCCACGTTTGAGGCGTTATGCAAAACGTTACTTTGATCTCGTTGCCCGGGGCCTAAATTAGTCTTTGAAGGCACGTGAATCAATTGGTCACGTGATTTTTTAGACAAAGTTGCATTTGTGAACCTATAGAAAGTATTCAATGAAGGATGGAAGAAAATAAACGGATAAAGATGATTTTATATCACCTAACGACTTCCGTTATCTTTTCCAAAAAGAGAAAGAAAATTATCTTTTAAAAGAATAAAGATTTCTCCTCTTTGATCATGATACTTTCCTTCTTTTATAGATTAATTTTTTTTTTTAAAAAAAAGAAAAGAAGTGTGTTGGTAGATAAAATAAAAAAAAGACTTTTCTTCATTATCTAACTTCCCTTCATTAACTCTCTCTCTCTCTCTCTCTCTTCTCGCCACTCATTACTTTCCCGTTATTTTTACACACTATATAATTTAAGCGAAGATTTTTCGTACTTAATTATCAGTTTTGTTAATTTTAAACTGAGATAAAAATCAGGAAACGAGTACGCGTATCTCATCAAGCGGAATAAAAATAGCAACTTAAAGAAAAAGCTATTGTAACGTTTTTCTTTCTACTAAATGAAAATTAAAGGAATCAAATGATAGGTTATTATCATCCGTTATGGAAAATATAAATGATA